ATCCACGCGGACACCCGGACAAGACGGCGAAATCCAGGCCAACGACGAAGACATCCTCTTCTGGACCGGAGAGAGGTTAGGAATGCTCAGCTTCTCGTCCCAACCTGGATTCTCCCCGGAGGATTTCGAAGAAAATACCAGAACGCCGGAAGATATCGCAGCAGAAGAGGATGAGCAGATGTACGGCGAGAGAATGAGGCTAGCGCTAGAACGACAGGCTCGAGACGTCCGGTTTGTGCAGAATCTTGGGGCTGGCAGCCTCCACAGCGGAATCTAAAATATTAGTATCTGATTTGCTCCGCTTCGATGGTGCACTATGTATATCGAGCAAGGGGATTTAACCACGTCACACAGATGAAGACGCGGGCTAGCAGATTTAGATTATAGATTACCATAATCTCTGGGCTCACTTAGCCCGAGGTTGAGTCATGATCTCACTACCCACGTTGGACGAGAAGGGATCGGCAGTCTCGGAGGAGCGATGAAACACTGGAAATCGAGGCGGATTGCGTTATCTTATCACGATATTTTATAGATCATTGGCTAAGTCCCGGAGGCGAAAGGCGTCTCCGTAAAATGCAAGTGGATCAAGACGGGGACGTTAGTGGATGTGGTAGGGGACGATGGACGATGGGTCACCCATTCTGCCGTTGTCGATGGCATCCCGTGACTTGGCTTTTCGTTTCTCTTCTATTTTCCGAATCCTGATGACTTGGTTTTACTCTTCTCTCACCGTCCTTTGTTTCGTGTTTCGTCATCCTTCTCCCTTTCTCCCTTCTCACATGGATCTCTTACTGCATAAATGTCTCTCGAATGATCCAAAATGGGAAACGTGTGTTGTTAGCCTCAACAAAAAACAATTAAGCATCAGAGCTATTGATTGACGCTTCAAGCCAACTGAAAAACGTGAGGCAACAAATCAGAGGACGGGTTGAACTTGGCGGGCTTAGCTGTAACCAATGGAAATTAATCCAGATTAGCACAAGGACAGGGGGGTGTCCGATTCTGGTTGATGGGCCCACCTTTTACGCACCCCTACCTGCCCATACTGCCAAGGTACCTTCCCCTAGGTACTGCCACTACTGCCACTACTAAGGACTAAAAAATAATAATAATGCCAGCAATCCGTCGCATGAAGAACAGCCAATCATTTCTATTTTCGCCTCTCTATGTCTTAAAAGACTTGCGTCTTTCCCACTCCCGGCGTCGCTCAGCATTAGTACACATCGAATTGCCACCCGCACACTGCATTACGCCGCGTAGATTGCAGCGCATCTTAGGTTCTAGACTGGTAAAGTCTTTTTTTCTCGTACGTAGGACCTGTATGTATATGTATGTATGTACTGTACAGCGAATACAGCAAATACAGCAAATACGCAGATACGGCAGTGTGGAAAAACCGACCCGAATTTGACAACGCAGCAAGTAAGCAGAACGAACCGTGGTTCTCGGCATTACGTGCCCATCTCCTTGGGCTTGGGAAACCACTTGGAAAAACAGCTTGGAGAGAAATACAATACTACCACTTCTACTACCACTTCACCACTTCTCAACCCGGCATTGGCGCACCAGACTTCTCTAACCCGGCACCCGAGACCACGATGGGTAAAGCAAAGGTAAGGTTAAGCAAGTAGGATAGACGACCGGTTTTGACGCCGCTGCACGACTGCACAACTGCACAACTGCACGACTGCAAATCCATCTCGAAGCTGGTCTGGCACGTACTGTAAGCATTGAGCTCTCCTGCATACCGGCTCTCTGTCTCTTTGTGTCTCTAGCTTCTTCCCGGCTCTCCGTCGTAATTTTCCTTTCACCGCTTCCTCCGTCCCCAAGGCTCCTCACGGGATCCATTCATGTACCAGCCATCGACGATCTGCCCGACTAGAGCCTTTTATTTTCCCTTATCGAACAAACCTATCCCTTGCTTTTCTCCACTATTACGTCCGGCTCTTAAACGCCTGAGCTGTGGGGGTGGATGAAATTACAATAGGCGAAGACGGAAGGTCTGTAGCGTAGACAGGCTGACAGGGCGCAGAAGGTCGCAAAAGAGGGCAGCATTTTTCGGACACTCGAAGTTCGTCAGCCAAGATTCCAACCGTCCAAGCAGGTGTCTAGGTGTCTAGGTCTAGGTGTCTGGGTAGGACGTTTCTTTAAGAAGTGGATTCCCTGGCGTTGCCTTGTCCGAGGGCTGTAACCTTTAAAACATCCACATATTGCCGTCGTCCCGCCAGTTAACAGGCACAGACCCAGCCTGTCTGGAAGAGTGAGGCTTACAGCCAGCTTAGCCGGCTGCTGCTGTTGCGTGTGTCAATATACACCAATCCGACGCCGCATCTCCCCAAGAGGGATCCTGCACGACCATTGATTGTCGTGGCGTCCCTGCAGTCGACTTTGCGCTCAGCTCCTCTCCCCCTCCGCTATATGGGTTCTGCTACGAGAATTCCGAAGAAAAAAAACCTCGGTGATGATTCGCAAGTCTTTCCTTTGACAGCAAAGTCCGAGTTACACATCGTCTACCATCTCACCCGCGACATCTGGGTGGCACCACGTCCGACTTCGTTTTTCTCAACACTGATCGAGGACTTTCTCAAGAAATGTCAAATGGCCAGCTGGTACGTCGGAGGGACGGAGATGTCGCGCTCCTCAAGCGACTCATCTCTCCCCGACGGCCCATATCGTCGACGTCGCCAGCACGTCGAGCACAAGAAGCGCCGTCCCAGCTACTCTGAACTCTCCAGCCTTCCGGATGACTTCAAAATGTTTCAACCGTTTAAGCGCCACCGGTTTGTTGACCACCCCGATACCTTCGAAACTATGGATTTTGAACAGACCCTGGCCCGTCCGGCTTTCTTCATTATTAAGGAGGGAAACTCCGGCCCCGGCTCGTCCGGCCTCGGACACGTAATGGTGGAAAACTCCGTCGCGGCCCACCACCGCGCCGAATCTACGATGCGGCCTGGCCCTTTCCAGCATTACATGATACAGTCGGACTCGCCCGCCATGAGCCGTCCCACTCATGCCGATCAAGCTCACGACGAGGCGGCCAAGCTTGTCGCCGCCGACCTCACAGATCCTCGCCGAAGGAGCAGGGTCTCCCAGCACGAGCGGATCCTGAGGAGCCTCATCTGTCCCAAGTCGCCCGAGGCCGAGTTTGACATAGACGATGTCGCTCTGCAGGGCATCTTCTACGCGGCTAACGAAATCTTCTTCCACGGAAAGCTTAAGGGTCGTGTAGCATGGGCGTGGAGGGACTTACCCAGCTGCCTCATCGGGACTACCGCATTAAGGAGGTCGCCACTCACCGATGGCTACGAGACGCTCATCTTCCTGTCGCGACGCATTCTCAAGGACAAGAAGTATAATAGGCGTCTGCTCATCTCGACCTTCATCCATGAGCTCATCCACAGTTACCTGTTTGTCTTTTGCGGGTTTCAATCTAAGGAGTGCGGCGGCCACACCAAAGGATTCCAACGCATCGCCAACCTCATCGACGAATGGGCCGGCCCAGACCTCCTATATCTCCATAACATAGAAGCCAAGCTCAGCGATTTCGAGACCAAAGCCGCGGCTCTACCTAAGGATTCCGATTTCGACAACTGGGGTGCGCCGTGGTCGCACAACCTTACTACCGGAGACTACATCTTCCCGAGCCATCACCAATGCAGGTTGTGGCCTGCGGCTCTACGTTTACTGGACCGGGACTTTCCATGACGAGCCGTCAACGTCCCGGTGCTGCGGCTGCGTCTCGCGAGCCGAGAGGCAGCCTAATGTTACCCCGCATAGGGCTAGATCTTTTCCAAAATCTTCTATCCTACCCTACCTTACTTGACCTTACATACATACCTACATACATACATATACACATGCATACACACATACATACATACATATCTTGGGTACCTAACCTACATATATACTCACCCTTCACTACTTTCCTTTGTCGTATACAGGCATGGCAACGGCGTATCGTTATATACCCCTACCTAGATTCGGGACGGAACTACTATTATTACTACTGGGAAACTTGGGTTTCGTTGGCACGTCGAGATGAATAATTCGTTCTAGATCAGCATTAGCGCATGAGACTTTTTTTGTTATCGGAAATGGCAAATGGTGTTTGGAAGTTTCTTTTTTTTTTTCCCTAATTTCCTTTCTAGTACTACTTATTATTGTTTGATGTTTATGCCCCCCTTTACGCGTCATGGCCTGTTCTTGCATGTTGGAAAGAAGAATCTTCTTGTTGATATTGTTGATCCTCGAATCTAGTACATATATGTAGGTAGCTAACATGTATCCCAATCGAATCCCCGTCATATATATATATATATATATATATACGATACGACGAATAGAAATAAGTGCGAGTATCGAGGATCCCTTGGCCCCCCGTTTGCGAGTAAGCGTGATATTCGGTATTCGGATTGCTGTGTGTTCTGTGATGTTCTGCTTCGCCTCCACTGAAGCAACTACCGATGCTCCGGGCTCCCATCTTGGTGCCCGATCTCTTGGGTCTGGCGTGTGTGTGTGTGTGTTTCTGGCGGTTGGTGGGGCCGTTTCGAATCTGAGGCTACATTGCGAATGGGGTCATGTCGGTGAGGATTGTTTGTATTCAACTGCATGTGTTATATGCCTCATATTTTGCCTTGCCAACTCACGATACCTTCGCTTCTTGAAATTGAGTTTGGTACCTAACCTACCGAATCTTATATGTACGCATCGTATGTAGATATGTCGATATGCATGCCAGAAGAATACTGGGGTACGCGGTTATCTCCGGTCTGCATATATTGGGCATGTATGTACATAGGTAGGTGCAGTTGCATATGTGCATGATCTTGTCCGCCCTCGGAATTGGACATCAAATCTTATGTATGCATCTGCCCGACGTTAGGCACGACTCATGCAGTGTGCCTCAGATGCGGGATGCTACATTTTTCTTTTCATTTATGTCGACAGCAGACATGATGAATTGACTCATCTAACCTAGACTAGGTATTATGGCCTAATGCCCCCCTTTCTAACGACTACCTATTCCTCCGAACCATCATCTCTCTCCCTCTAGGCGTGAAGCACTTCGATAGCCTTCTCCAGGCTTTCAATCTCCCGTTCCAGTTCATCCCTAGCTTGGGTGCTGGTGGGACTTTCTTTTGCGATGCCTTCCACCTCTTCGCTGGTCATGGATAACACTCGTTCGGGGGTGAACACTTGGAAAACGCTCTGCTCGCCGTCCAGCAAAAGATGAGTGATGGCTTGCTGATGAATCCCATCCAGAAAACGTGCGCAAGCTATCCCGTAATACGTCTTTATCATATCGTGTACGTCCCCGTAAATCTGCTCTATGGAAGGCAGTAATGCTTCAGTGACATCTGTCTCAGCATTCGTCTTCGTTGTAACACGATTTCTTCTTATAGAGGGCTCAGAAACGTTCTTGTTCTCTTTTAGTACCATACGCCTCTGGCGCTCTGCTCGGTTGTTGGCCAGGAGGTCTTCGAAATTGGGATTACTGGTGGCCACTTTACCCCTACACTCGACGTGTAGGAGGAATTGTGCATGATTGATGGCACGACGATAGCAGTCAAGAAGATTATCTGAGAGAAATTCTTGTAACGTAACTCGTACTGTGCCATCCGGTAAGGCTAACTTCATAGCTGTGTCAATAAACTGGTGGATGATCAAAATGTCATTTGAGAGGTGAGCTAGAGTAAGCTGAGTCCATTTCTCTGACTGTTCTCTGAACACGATAGGGAGTATGGAATTTCCAAACTACCAAGCTGATTAGAATGAGTCTTAAATACAATATCGTAAGCTATCAACTCGTAGTGGCGTGAGTCATAACTTACAACGCCGAGTTCGCCTCTGGGATAAAGCGAGTATATTTGTCGAATGCGGTCAATTAGATTTCCCTTAGAAGGGCCCAGACAGCAAACAGGGTCAGAAAGTATTCCCTGTAATTCAGGATATTCACGTTCATCGGGGATAAGAAAGGATAGTCTGTAAAGATTATCTCGGGACGTAAATGACGGTAGGAAATCATTTGTATCTTCGTCGCTTTCAAACTTATAATGATGTCCCTTCATAAACAGCGTCTCGGTAAATGCTTTACCGGTTTCTTGCAAGTGAGCGGCAAGGCGTAATTGGGGGTTTCGAGACCAGACCGGGCGTTCAGTATTTTTCATATCTAAGGCAAGCCTTACAATGTGTGAAAAATAGATAGCGGTACGGACAAGGTATGTCCGTTGCTTGTCAATGTCGACACGAGGCTCACCCATGAACTTCATACATTCTTTCTTCATCTCGAGTGCAGCCGACACTTCGGTATTGACTTCAAAGAGGTACTGTTTTGTGTGCCTTACAAGTAGTATTTGAAGCTGAGATCGAATCGAGCCGATACCAACTCGGGCTTTGTCCAATTGATCCCATGGGGACTTATTGAAGAATACGCGCTCGACGTAATTGTGCTGGGCGAGATCAGAAGTAGAATCGTCTTCTTTTCGGGTTCGGACGATGAAGTATTCTAGGGGGGGATCTCCCTGGTTGACCACATCGACAATCTCCTTCTTGGATGCATGCTCTGCGATAAGATCCGGTTTTGTAAATATCGCAATACTACGTTTCCCACTAGTATCGGCCTCTTTCACACTCTTTAAAATGCGCTGCTCTTTGATATTGGTTGTGCAGGGGACAACTGCAAGGATGCTAAACTGTGTTAACTGCTAGTTATATAAGATATTAAATTCCATTGCAAGCAACTTACACTGTTCGAGACATTCGGATAAAATCTACAACCATTGACTCAACTGGTGAGCTAGCTAATATATCATCCGGATTGTCTATTTTCTGTTAGTATATTAGTTTAGCCTCGAATCAGAACACACACGTTGAGTTCGAATATCAGGCAACCCTAGATCACGAAGTTAGAAGGAAACTAAGATATTTAGTAGCTAAAACACGAACCAGGAAGATCAATGATTGTCAGATGTTCTTCTCTGGGGCCGGTTATCTCAACTTGCAAGACATCCTTGCAGTATTCCGGTCCATGATGAGGCAAATGAAGTAGATCGTTATCCCAACGAATGGTAGAAACCTATTAAATACTTGATAAGCAACGAGATATGCTATATGTCGGGTTTATCCATATGACAAGAGAAATACCTGTTCGAATAGGTCTTGCAATCTTTTTCTATTTCGGTCTTTGGGCAAAAGTTCCACTTTAAAAGCACGTAGCTTGGCTGCTCTGTGCTCACAAGACCTGGGAGCAGGTTGGATAGATGCTAGAATTTTCTCCGTGTTACTTCTCCGATAGATAATCTCAATAATGTAGTCAGTGCCATCTTTAGCGGCTCGTGAAAAGGGGAAGCCGGTTAAACTCTCGAGAATACTGGACTTGCCAGCGGCTCGGTCGCCAACCACAACAAGCTGCACGAGATAGTGTTAGCTGTATTATACAAAACTCAGGTAATAATAAACTAAGGCAAAAATACCTGGGTCAATGGTACTGCGGGCGAGACATTCAAACTCCGCAACTTGTCGATTTTCTGGAGGAGAGTTGGGTCGCCTAGGGTTCCTACTTGGATTCCTACTTGGATTCCCTCGGACTCGGGCATTGTTATCTATAGTATATAGTATAGAAGGGATGTGAAATAGTAAGATGCTGACAGATGAGCCATATGAGACAGAAACAAGAAGTCATCAGGGAGCACACCCTCATCATAATATCTTCCTATTCCAATCTCATTCTATCATAAACCACCTCCGCGTTCCGTTTGTTTTCGGCTACACCCGAGGCTTCATCGCTTCCATGCATGTCGTATCCCCGGAATCATGCGTAAGCCGTTTACAAATCGACTGGTATTATTCCTGCGTTTATTGATGTCGATATTTTCTCGCTCGAATCCTTGGTGTTTGATGAACAATGTTGAAATCGCGGCTCAACGCAGGTATGTCTATGCTTTGATTTCCCAGGGGTATACACATTTCATCACCTACATGTACCTACGTACCTAGTATACAGAATACCTATATTATTAACTCAACTAACCTCTTACTTCTCTACGAAATTGATCAATCACATACAAATGATGAGAGGTGTAGGATTCGAACCTGCGCGGTACAGCGAACCTCCGTTGGGAACCTAGACGATACAACAAGAGTAATACATTCGTAGTTAACTAATAGTAAATACATATTATTAAAGCAGTTAGAAATTCCACGTACGACCATAGGATTTGGAAAATTCGGGATCCCGTCCGCTCTCCCCATATAGACAAGCCAAATACCGCCGGATTAGTAGTTGGGTCGGTGACGACCAGCGAATCCCCGGTGTTGTATGTTTTGCATTTTTGCTTCTTGCCGTCTTGCCCTTATTTAACTGAATTTTAAGGGGGGCCGGGGGGTGCACTACTAATGGCGAGGGTGGAGGAGGTCGTGATATAAGCGGAGCCCTAATAGGGGTATAGAAGGTATCAGGCAAGACTTACACAAGCCTTATGAGTAATACTTTACCTCGTTCGAAATTGTTATCAAGCAGTTCTTATGGTAAACCGGTGACAGCAACATCTCTTGAAAATTTATAGAAAAATAGTGTTGGATTAGCCTACAGAGCTACTAAACGATCGAATGACATGTGCACATGTTTAAAGAATTTTCCAACATAAAATGATATTCGGTCCCATCAAGGGTGCCCCAAAACAAGACTTCCATATAGATCCATCCTCATAGCTCGAATGGAATATTCCATTCCCGTCAGTTTCATCTGGTGCGTCGCAGCGAGATATGTTTGGTCATATCGTGGTTTGTCTAGTAGCTCTATTAGATGGAGTTCATAGGAGGCACCTAGGTAGGTAAGTGTGAAGTGAAGGATCCCGTACTTATCTAGACCTGGATTCCAACCGACTGGAACCTGAGGTTGGAGGCCACGCTGTCGAACTGGACGAAGACTGAGACGGAAATTCCCTTGCCCTGGTAGATGGCCTGGGTGGAGCTGATGGTGAGGGTGAAAGATTGTCCCTTCTGGAGCTCCTCTTCCTTGAACTTGACCGAGTTGGCAAGGTAGATGGCCACGGAGTCGACAGTCGCCGACTGGGAGGAAAAGTCGACAGCGACGACCTTGAGGTTCGGGTTGTTGACCGGAGGGCTGGGGATGGTGAAGTGGATCCATCCGCTCAGCTCGTTCGGGCTCGTCGGCTTGACGAGGGCGGAGCCCTTGTCGGCGGTTATGGAGAAGGAGGAGGTGCTGTCCTTGATGGCGCCGATGCCGTGGGTGGAGATCCAGGTAGTCATTTTGATGAGGTGTGTTGACGTGTAAGTCGAGAGTTCTTCCCATGAGTTGTTTGTTAGCTAATTACATTCTGCTCGAGATTGCTGGAGTGTGATTGCTAAGTATTTGTTCTTACTTTCTGGGAGTTAAGCAGGATTATCCTGATCGAGGTTGTGACTGGAGATTGATAGTTGATATGAGCTGTCTGCTTGAGATGAACTAATATGTGGTCTTGGGTAGTCGTAGACCTCGATATATATACCTTTTTTCAGGACTATCCAGAAGCAACGGATTTCGATAAATCATACGTTCAGACCAACTCGATGAAGTAGTCGCCGACCTTATGTCGTATCTTCGGGATGCATCGTGAAGGTATTCTGCAGACGCATCTCCTACCTGCCGCCCTTTCAGCTTCTCTCTGGGCCTGGAAACGTACGATGCATATTAGTTAGTATTGAAGATTACAACGTTTCCTTCTATGATCGTCTCAACATCGCGGATCCCGGATAGATGAAGCTATGCAGAACGGTCATGCTCCTTTCCTTCGAGCCATTACGCCATTGGCTATAATGCTAGATGCCTTTCTTAAGATTGGTACGTCTGAGGTTGGAATATCACCTTCGGCGATGCTGCTCTCCGATGTGACTCCTCACCGTGTAGAGGCGGCGGCGCGTCAAGGCAGAGATATCACGATGTACTCCAGCATAGCCTCCTTAGCTGCCGCTCGAGGTGTAGCAATTGGAGTCTTTTTGCTTCCCTACCGACTTTTTATTGTTTCTGTTAATTGGTCGATTGCGACGGCGTTAGAGTATCGTCGAGACTGTAGGTAGACTAATGCTATACGACACAATAATGCAGGGTGTTACGCGGCGGACTTACATAATTGATTCTTACGCATTGATTCAGTATAGCTTGGTGTCATAATCAATAATCATGATTGGCTCTCAGTATGTGCCTGATGCTCGCCAACGTCCCAAAGTGTATTTTCAGCTTGGTTGGCCTGCAGAGTAAAGGGCGGGGTACCAGCCTTATGGCATGGGCGCTTCGGTTTCTCCTGAGCCACTTAGAAGCTGAAATATAGACCTGCATGTCGAGTACCGAGTATCGAGTGCTATTGTATATAGATGACGAATCGTGTAAGTCGTATGATGCTGCTATGGTTGTAGGTGTAGGACTTGTGATTATTAGCTTTGCGAGGTGATTGATATGACCCGGGACTGATCCGATACGTTAGGTAAAGCAACATTTTCTGTACATATGCAAGCTGTCTCTAGTAGATATAATCACAGCTATTCGCGTAATAAGGAGTTATTTTTGATACTGTATAGTTATAATCAGGACTCGCTTTAAAACCATTAGACATACTTGGTAGTTGAAGAGCATTTGAACCACTGCTTTCGGTATATGTGAATGAGTTATGAAAAGTTACAACTGTCATAATTATCGCAATGTTGACCATGGCCGTAATAGTATATCTCGTCGCGGTAAGCAAATCGTGGCTATCACTGGTATATGTCTCTCATCTCCTAGGCGATTGTATCAGCAAGCTCCTCAATATTTCATGCAAATTTCCTTCAGCCTGCTGCCCGGCTTGCGTCAGGTGGCGTCTTTTAAGCCGGCTGAGCTCTAATATTTTAGGAAGTATGGAATATACTGTTACGTATGCTCTCAGCTATTATGTAGGCTATAAACTAGTGACGACTGAAAAGGGGTCAGTACATAATTGCATCCTTCAGTCAGAACATAACCACTACACTAGGTATAGGTAAAACAGAAGAAACATTTGGAGAAGTTAATAACTATATTCCCCTACATTTGTAATCAGTCACATAGCTTCCAATAACGCCAAACATTCCTAACAAAATACTAACATAGACGTCTTGGCCTCCTAAACTGAACTCCGCATCTTAACTATTCTTGAGAGTTAGTATTGCGTCTTAAAAAAGCCAATATCAAGGTAAAAATTCCTCTTATAAAGGACTGTTGCTGGCGTTACTCTTTCTCCTTAAGTTGGGTACGTAAAAGTATCTCATTCCAAGTCATAGCGTCGTATTCGGCCCCCATAGCTACCTGTCTCGCCTTTCGTACCCTTGGACACTTTATAAGTGGGATAAGTGTGTAGCATAGAATGACCGCTACTGGTTTTCTATGTATCACGCGCAATTGTTACTATTTAAATATTAGGCCCCGTGCTAACAGGAGCTCAAGGACTTTTCTTCAGTCTTATATAACTTGATATCAGACCTCGTCGCTGTCTTCAATACATAGGCGAATAAATCGGTAGTATCATACCAGTCCCGAAGGAAGAGTTAGTGAGCGTTTACCACTTAAATTGGTTCACAAATCAATACCAATAAGCTAACCTACTCTACATTACTAGGAACCAGCAAAATGCGAGTGTGGGTATCATCTCACGGCGCTGGAGCCATCAACACTTTAGACAACTCCTTCCGCATCACAGCCAGCGAGGGAGGGTCAGTGATACGACCGACGAAAGCCGGGGAACTCAAAGGAACTGTTCTATTTCCTCTCCACGGCTTACCGAGTAGTATTTCCTATTACAACAAGGTAGCGGTTGACTTCTCATCTCAAACCGCACGTGTTGATGAGGTAGTAATTATGTCCGGTAGCGATGAGGTCTTCCAGAAGAAGAGGCTGCGCAAAACTGGAGACTTCACAATCCCGTTGCACGGCCACCATGTCAAAGCGGAAGAAGAGGGGAAAGGCTTGGCATTATGGCTCAAGGTAGAGTTTGAGAATGTGACTGCAGAGCTTGAGTTCCGGTCAGTTGGACTTGAGGTTGTTGTGACTTCTCCGCCGCCAACCGAAAAGATGAAACTCGATAGCGGGTCTTGGAATACTGGCGATGTTAGATCATGGGATCATCCTAGAGAGAAGACCGAAGGCTTGGTCAAATTCACCAACGAGTTTAGCTCAATTCCGACCGTGTTGGTTAGCATGAATACCGCAAGTGTTAAAGGAGGTTCTAATTTTAGAGTCAAGGTTTACGCGACAGATATTAGCTCTCGTGGGTTCACCATCCATGCAGATAGCTGGGCAGACACGGTGTTATATTCGTGCGGCGTGACATGGTTAGCAATAGGATCTTGACATGTTAGCGAGGATGCCTCGGGACAGTTAAGAACACTGGGAGAAGTAGGGACTGAAAGTGGAACCGTTGGACTTGGGACAAGTAATTTATAGACCTACATAATATAATACAGTTATCATAACAGGTAGTAGCGGAGTTCAGGTCATCTCCCTAGCTACATTATCCACCCGCCCTCTCCGCCCTCCCCCCTTCCGGTCATTCTGAAAGGCTAGAATCTTACATAGAAAAGAAACTACCAAAAAGGAAGATACAGCTCTAGATACCCTCAACCTGCTTCAACAGATTATCGACGGAATCTCCATTGATATTGCCATTGTTAATCATCAGCTTTAGTTGCCCTTTCAAGGTTTGATACTTGACCGCTGACTGCATCATATCCATGTATTTTTCGATGTAACTAGCCGAAATTCCGCCCGGCACCATCGTTGGACCATGCGAACCGTTCGCCTCTCCCAAAAGAAAGGGTGATAAGTAACTAAGAGGACCCGTTGTTCGATTGTTTGTCATGAGGTGAGCTTCCCAATGCGGAGTAATCTTTTCGAAACAGATGCGCTCTCCTTTGGATGATTCCGAATCCCAGTCCATTGCCCAGTCCACCGGCCATTGAAAATCATCAGTCAGACTTAGGCTAGCGCAGGGTCTCTCGTGGCCTCTAGGAGGGTGTGTGGGGAATATTTCCACCATAGATTTGGAAGAGGTCCAATGCCAGGTACCTCGATAGGTAAGAATATGCTGATTTGAACCCGAAGGGTATTCCATTGGCTTGAGAGACGGAACGAGCTTGTAGATGTTAGATTTGGCTTCGTCATCGCATAAGGCCATGGCCTGGAGAATTGCTAGGTACAGACGCGGGATGCGATAGGCTGTCATACCCTGCATTTCAAGCTTGGCTTGCTGATTTAGGAATTTGAAGACAGGGCTAAGGGTACAGCCTTTCTTCCTGTCGGCCAGAAGTATCATTGCGGCAGCGTCCCTTGCTATTTCTGGGATATCAAGGTCAAGGGCGCTCAAGACACGCTTAACCCATGTCATATGGGCAACAGGATATTGCCAAGTATAGGTGGTGGAATTGGTTCCCAACTCGACAGCGGATATTGGAAGTTCTTCCAGTGTATCTTCACCCTCATAGTCGGATTCGTCCTCATCGATATCAATGTCAAGTTCGCCATTGATGTGAGACTCGTCGACAATACTAAGCTCACCATTTATGCGAAACTCGCCGATATAAGCCTTAGGCTTACATTCATCGGCGTGGCACATATCGATATCAGTGTCGGATTCGTGATATTCAAGGTCAGACTTATGAAGACCTTGATCTAGATTGTTGCCGTCCATGGTGGAATCGTCGAATTGGGATTCATGTTGATCTAAATTGGAGGGATGGCTCGCTGGAATTGAATCTTGACTATGAGAGTTTTCGTCTCGCCATTGATGCGTGTTAAAAAAGTGTTCCAGAGCATCGAAAGTGGTGTTAGATGTCATGTATTCCAAGAATTCAGAGGTTTCATCTACGGAGCAGCCTCCCAACCTCTCATATAAGTCCACACGACGGTAGAACTCGTCTTCGTCTATCAACTTGCCGACCTCAACCCAATTGCAAAGCAATCTTCCAATGAGCATGCCTGTATGAAGTTCGGATTGGGGTGCCATCTTGGTATGATGTCATCTATTCTAATAGAAACAGTCAGTATTCAGATCTAGCTAGCTATGTGAATCTCTCAAGAGAGACGAACATGAATAATGAGAGATAGAGGGATACTTAATGAATACACATACCTGAAAGGGTGACAAAGTAGCGACGAAGATGTAGTCAAGAATATACAGAGCTTAATACCTAATGATACTCAGTGAAGCTATTGCCCACCGGGTACGTCAACCAAAAAGATGACTTGAGGTTTCAGGTAAAGCTTCTGTTGAGAAAGGATGTTTGGATTAGGTATGTGTAATATGTCGAATGGATTCGCAGCCCAAAAGGTTTGAAGTTGGGATGGAGATGGGAATTGTGAAAGAAATTAATCAGGTCTGAAAGAATCCGGTCTGAATAAATATTAGACTTTGGGATCTAACCTTGGAAGCCTCGTTGCAGGTAAAGGTCCGGCGTAGCTGCCGTCTTTGTACGCGGCAATAGCGGCGAATTCGCTCTTGCTCTGTTAGACATTTCATATCCACAGCAACGCACCCAAGTTGAGAAGGAATTGTCAATGCGGTACTTTCCTTGCTTAACAGTTAAAAATACATAGAGACAAGGTTCGGGAAAGAGCAGCCTCGTTGGACCCTTTTGGTATCGAGGTATAAAATAGACCAGTCTGAGATTATAGTCCATTGGAAGGTCCTAAGGGACATAGCAAGTTGTGAGAATACCGCCAATGGTGTAAGTACCTAATACACTGATTATATGAAGCTTCCTAACCTACATAGGTATGTAATACCTGATAAAAAGGGCTATACATATTATCGTCATCTCAAAAGCATATATCCGTGCGGGTAGCCGTTGCTGTTGTCGTTGTCATGTACATTAGCTACGATGTACGTACCCAGCATACCTAAAAGGTAAGTGCTACCTAAAGGTAAGTACCGCCGCAACTCACCACAGAACTCACCTAGTACATGTAGAGAGGTCATTATGTAAACTCGGCAGGCACATACTTTAGTAGAAGGTAGGTAGGCATGTACGTGTTTGTGAGTGGGACTTGTGATAGCCTAGATGACCTCCTTGTTATCCCATATTGTATAGGTAGGCTTGGTCCTGTCTCTTTCTTTCATCTCCCAATCCTTAGGACTATACGTTATCATCGTGCTTATTATTCTTTGACCACCACTACAACATTCCTCAATATTGTAAATAGCGAGAAGCGAACTCCTTAAATCGCACTCAAGAGCAAGGTCTGAGATGTGCATAGGTACCAAAGCCAACTAACGCTGGCCAGTATTTTCTTGAGCGTCTTCCAACCGAATTACACCGTATGATGTTTGTTTGAAGAGTGCGACCTTGCTTCTAGAAATACGCTTGTCCAAACGTGTCGTAAGGTGCGCTTCGCAGGCTTGAGCTACCGCCTTAACGAGTCAAGCTAAGGGATACACTGGAGTTCCTTAAAGCTGATTTACTCATGCTGGCTAACTATCTAGACGTTGAGGCCATCCGTACCCATACCACGCAGGTATTATACCTGAATATTCAGTATGACTTCTTGTTGTAGACTACTAACACTTGGAAGCTGTTTGAGTATTGCTATTACCACCATTCAGCGCCGATCAGGGGTACCCACCCTCAATACCACCAATCCCAAGTAAGCACCTGCTTGTCAACTTAATCCGCTGCCGGCTCTCATCGGTAAAATAGAGAAACTCCAATTCCCAAAGATCGACGTGGAGCGCCTCGAGATTGACAAATCCCTTTGGGGTGACTTCTAGGATTCCATGTGCTTTAGCTTCGAGGCCCTGGGTAACAGCATGCTCTCCAGTATACAATTATGTAGTGAAAGAAAAGAAAATATACGATAAGTACTCCAAGAGCCGCTTATAAACCTACGAATAATTTAATAATCGTGGTTGGGTACTCATGGAGTCATGTGACGGACTTGGGGCAATTCCCAAATTCTTGAAAAATATACGCAAATATAGGATTATCACCGAACACATTTTCCCCCTTCTTTAGGATAGGACCTAAAAGGGGATTTGGATGTCGATATCTCCCGGATCTATTCAGTGGCAGGGTACCAACATACGCACGCAATGCCTCAAATTCTAAGCGATAGACATTTTCCAGCTCCACGACCTTTTCAAATAACTCACTGACAACTCCAATCCCGGTAGCAAGATTAGTCGCATGCTTGAAAAACGAGAAGGGGAGTACCATTTCATTTGTACTGCCGAAAGACTCGCGGATAATCATAGAAATAGCTAGGCGAGCCTTGAAACAGTGGCGCGAATCAATACATTCGATAACTTGACGCACGATATCCCTTTTACCAGGCATAGCAATGCTATGTGGCAAATATGCGGATTCCCTAGGGTGGATACTACCCTCCGGGAGTGTCGTATTCGTGTCCTCAGCTTGCTGCATGTAGACTTTAACATCTACTCCTGAGGTGCCTGTGGGGAGTCGGTTCGTAGGCGGGCTGGTGGAAGCGAGTCTATATTATTCTATTCTCGAAGCCAGCTCTTCCTCCAGGGATTTATCAGAATCCTCCTGTGTCATGTTGGCAACCCTCAAAGCAAGTTCAAACTTCTGGAAACGGCTATCCGGAACGGGTTCGAGGACGAAAAATGCTCTGCGTCCATTGATCTCCATTGTCGTATTGTTGAGGAAATAGTCTTAAGCTTTGAGATATTCTAGTGTCATACTATACCCCATTTCTTTGAACGTAATAAATTTACCGTCGAATTTAGCTTTGTTGACATCGAGTATTGCTTTAAAAATGGGACTTTCGCGAATGATCTTGTCGCTTTTTTTCTCGACCAGGTCGTACCATTTCGCAATTATCATTGCATCGGACATAGTCGTCATCTTTCTTATCTAGCGCAGGTGATTATATTTGGCACAGGCAAGAATTGGCAGGTGAACGGGGACAGGTAAGGGTAGAAGAGTCGACGTTAGAATAGCGTAAAAAGCGGGCTTTTATAGCCGCTGGGGATAATAAAGAGAAGGGTTTATCCTCGAAGATATTTACTAGGTTGGGTAGTGTTTAATGTAAGGCGATGGTTCACGCTGTGGTTGCTCGAGTCTGAAATTTAGTTGTGGAGGGTTGCCAAGGGGGTTTCGCGGTAAGGTAGATACCTTCGAGCTTGACAGAGAAATGCAAAATTGTACCTACCTAGCGTTGTGCTTTCCTTAATACTTTCGTATCTTATAAAGCCACCATTTACGAGTAATAAGTACCTAATATATTTACGGCCTACCACCGGCGGTAGGTCTCTGCCCGGCGCTACTTTGTGATAAAGGGGGTTATATAATACCGCTCAAGAAAGTCATATTCGATATAGCTTACGATTTGCTATTGTATACGCCATATAGCTCGTCATCTAAGAGCTTATAGATCTCCTATGCTATTTTACCCCCCTCCCCCCGGACCCGAGCTCCATAGATGGGGCCGATAATTATGTCAACGGAAGCGGGTACTGTGCTAATCGGCGCACGTGCAGGTAGGAACATCATGTGGCACCAGGATTCATAACGAGGCACGTGAACAAGTAACGATCATGTGATTTTCACGACGACAGCAGACCAATCCTTGATTGTGATACAGGCACATATTGATATACCACATAGGCACGTTCTTGTTTGTAAAGGCCAGAAGGCAGGCAGAGCACGACTCCATTAACTTGACGCCTGATACTTGGACTCTCCAGCCAGCAAACCTTCCTTAGTTCCCCTCGAGCAATGGACAGATATCCTCGTTCGTCTCTCCCCGCAAGCGATGCTCAAGGTTAGTAGAGGTCTAGAAAGCCATATTGTAGCTGTATATGCAGATTTTTGTTGTCCTATTCGTACAGCCTGGTGGCGGATGTCTAGCTCTCTTCATATATCTTGCAGCACCATCTACCTGTACCCTAAACCTCTACTCTAAATATATGAAGACAGTGAGATAGATCATCAATACATGGTATGTTTACTTACCTAACCTAAGTAGCATGTAGAAGGTTTTAAATTGTCATCTCTAGATCTTGGTATGTCATAATTCGTCTTAGCTACTATGATAAGCTATGTAGGCAAGACCCCATCACGATTGCAGTTTCCATTTTAACACCATCACTTTAGATATTCATTCTTTCAGCATTCTCACATCCTTCCAAACTCAATATCATCTCAATAGTACACTAGTACACACCTTTGACAAACTCTCCTAGGGAATTCTATCTCTACCTATAGCCCTAACCTAGAGGTTTAGCATTATACACGAGATCTTAGAGGTGAGTTGCCTGCTTGCGCCGTATGATATTCGAGGCCTGTGACCCCACTTCTAGACAAGCTCTTGCCCAAACTTGCCACGAGCTCCGCAATGCGGGTTGGGACTTCCGACTCCAGAACGTGAAGGTAACTAGCACGCCATCTTCCCTGGTGATGGACCTGGCGATCCTCGAAGATCATACGGAAACCGAGATTGTTCGTACCCATACTACGTGAGTATTATCTCCATCCCTACCTAGGTACCTAGGTACTTTAATATGCAACTTCTGAGTGCAGACTAAACAGTTCTATACATATCGCCATTACCGTCTCCTCGAGCCAAAGCACGCACTCCCCCGACGGAGCTGAGATATATCGTTTCGGAATCCCCGGTTTAATTAGCGCCATGATATCTCTTATCGGCGAAATGCAGAGATTAAATGAGCTTAAAATTACTATTGGAAGTACCGGGCCAGTCTACGATTTAACTGCTCTCTATGAAAATACCATACACGAAGAGCTTGAGTATTGGCTTGATGATCCAGTGTCTTATAATTCACTTACAATCCGACTGAAAGGGTTCACTTCTTTCAGAGTGATACATTTTGCGCGCATGTTCCCTGAACTGCAGCATCTAGAGGTCGGAAGCAATTGCCTTAAGCAAGATCCTAGCCCTAGTAACTTAGTAAATCTCCCGCCGCTGAAAAGCCTAGGGATATATATACAACAGCCCGACATCGGTGGAGTGGAGACCTTGCGCAGTAGGTTATCCTGATATAATCGTTGTAAATTTCTAGGGCGGTAGCTAATATTACCTCCAGATATTCACAGTACATATCCATTACTCGAGAATTTTGTTATTGAAAAGATGCCTGATATCACCTGGAATGAAACCGTATGTCCGTGCCGGTTCTTATATCTCATATTCTAGATTAACAAGTTATTCATAGGATGTCATGTGGGAACTCAGGAACTTTATGCACTTACGCAAGCTCGAAATCGCCAAAGACTGGTACTATGATCCCGATGACTAGGAGAGCTGGGACATATCCATCGATCCAGTCTGTTCTTTTTTCACTGCTCGCCATCCTATTGAATATATGACTATCCGAATAAATGACAACTATGAATACCAGTGGGATCGTGATTACCTAATTGGTCATTGGTAGAAGTACCTAGGTAGAGAGATGGTATGGCAATTTCACATCGCCCCACTTCCATGGTGTCAGCTTCCATAATGACTGGCACATGGTTTCGCAAGACGGACTTTTTCATTTGATGCATTACCTACAGATATAAAAAGCCTTATGCGAATTTTTCCTATTAATTTGATCATCGTTCTGCCTTCCTAAGCCTTGACTCATGATAGACACTGCCCGGGGGTTTAAGTACAGATTTAATAGTATAACTACGGTACATAGCTACGCCTTCGTGAATCCCATGCCCTCTCCGTGGTTCGTCGACATGTAGCGAGGCTATTCATATCGTGAACCTGATTGGCCAAAATTACTCCCCGCTTCCCTAAAGCGGCAATACTTTACTTTGGCGGCTGACCTTAGCCTTGGAGCTACCCGTGAGCCTGACCAATATAATTTCAGAGTTGATACCGAGATAATCTTAATATATCAATACGGCTCTATGGGAATTTTCAACTCATAGCTATGTCTTTAAATACTCTACCGGCGTAGTTGCCTTTGGATCAAGGTATTTGGTAGCGAGTTCGGGATTATCAAGAAACTTCCGCGTAATACAGTTCTGAACCACCTAGGTAGTATTAGCTAGCCCCTACGGCACTCAGGATGTAACAAGACATTTATGAGATATGCCTCAATGGTCTCGCATACGTTCGTCGTATATATTGCACCCCCGTCAACAATCTAGCCATCTCCACCACGGGCCCTTAGGAATTCGAAAGCTGGTTTGAAAACTAGGAACACATATTTAATATTATCAGCAGAAGGTTAATTGATAGAAGGCGAAAATCACCTTCGCTCTATTTGTTACTCCCAACCATCCTTGACATCATTTTTCACCCCTTCCTCGTCAGCAAATAGCAAGTCAGGATGTCTTTAATCCATTATCTAGACCCCGCAACCAGTACTTTTTTGATATCCCGTTATTTCTGGGGCCCTACACGAACCACCGCTAAACCACCATCTACCTTCTTGAGATAGAGACAGGGACGCTTGTAGATTAATGAACTTATGCAGTTGCACTCTTCATTGTCCAATAGACATGCACGTGAAAGTCTCAAGAATGTGTCCTTCAAACATATCCATGTACCGGGCTGATACCATTCACAGTCCTCTAGGATAAAGCTTTTTATACGCTTAATATCGGCTATACCGACCCTAGAGATAACCTCGAGGAAAGTATTGAAAATAACATCATGTTTCTCCGAGTCCGGCTTAACAAGCTCCAATAAAATCATGGCATCGTAGATATGCTCATGCCACTGGGCGTCGATTTCGGCATCACTTCCTAGCTCAGGGCTTGATAATCGTGCTCGTTTTCGCTGTACGACATGTCCGGATGACATCACCATATCGCTTGTTCCACTGGCTGGCGCTTCGAGTTGTGCTGGCCGGCCACAAATGCCGCCGACAAGATCGGTAGATGATGTAGTGGAGGTATCTTGAGATGGGATTGAGAGATTGAATGAGACGGAGGCGTTCTGGACTCTGGCTTCAGAAACAGAGATGTTCATGTTAATAAGGCATTTCATGCTGCTGGGTATTTCGGGAGGCATTGTAGATCGGGATCACATCAGAATAGGGTATCAATGAGGTTAATCGATGTGGGCGAAGGGTGTTGATACATATAGGATTGTTTTGTGGCGTTGTCTGGTTAGTTGTGGGATTAGAAAGGAAAGGCGAAGAGGTGAGAGAATAAGAGGTGAATTTTAGGGCGGGTGATCAGTTAAACTGAGGAAGTTGCAACGCTCCTTGAGTCATGACATATATACACGGAAGGTTCTACTAGTATAATTGAGGTTGTTTCATCATTCTCGCCTCAAGGCAGGTAGGTTGATAAAGCCATTTCCATAACGACAGGACTATCCGTCGCGTATGTATACTTTGCCTTAGCCAACTTTCCATGTGTGGTATTGTACGGAAGACACATATCTGCATGTACCATGTATATGACCACTTTCGGATTTCCATTCTACACAACATTGAAGGTAGTCACGTCAGTATATAGCTGCCTGGGGCTAGGCTTGGGGGCATTGGCATAGAATAACCTTTCGTAGAGATCAATCCCTCAATTTGCCAAAGATTTCAAATGCCAAAGCCACCTAACTATACCCAGCATTACATATAATTACATGTGCCCATAAATCCTATATGCACTGCTCATTGTACCTGCATGTAAATCATATACTCCCCCATGATGCAAAGGAGATTATTATGCTCATAGATGCCGAGGCATAGATGGGCCAACAAGCCACTATAAGCAGTTTTCCTTAGGATTATTCAGTTCTAACAAGCTACCTGGGAATACAATCTTGATTCGTTAACGCTATCAGTCTATTGACTTATCTAATATGATAGCCTCGTTCTGCTTATATATAGAACCGCCCTAATCTGAACTCATGCACAATCCAAACTTCCGTATACTACGTAATTATTCAATCGTCTTGGTAGCAGCCTTGATGCAGTCATCGATAATGTAGACCCACTTCGTGGCGTTCACGTAGTCTTCCTTATCGATGCTCTCGTCGAGCCCAGGGAATACAGCCCCAGCATAGCCAGTCCAAACGCCGGGTGCGAAAACAACGTGTTTGAACCAGGGCCGGCTATCCAGACCAAGTTGGTATAGGAAGGCGCGCTCGATTTTCTTGTACTTGGTGTTTGTGAAGCGAATCTCGTGGAGCAGCTTGAGTTTGCTAAACCATTTCCACCAGGGAACTTGTTCATTCGCTTCCTTGGCCAATCTTTCCGACTTGGCATCAAGCTCAATGGCAGATTGCTTAAATGCATCTACGGATTGGTATAAGCTACCTAGTGTGTTTTTCAGGGCGTCTGGGTCGCCTTTGACTCCAGTGCCGGCAGCACGGGCTCTGAACTCGAATATCTCCTTTTCAGTGGATGGGTTCGCTTGAGAAGTCGTTAGCTTCGTCTCAACCTTTTTGATATACTCTTCCAGCGCATTAGCATAATCCGTCGCGTTAAGAGAGAGGAGCGGCAAATCGGCTATCTTTGCGGTGATGAGGCCGAGGACCTGCGCCATCGTTTTATGATAAACAAAACCAGGGTCGCCAAACTCAGACATCCAATGGAAGCTATCGTAGTTGCTATGGTAATGGTAAATTGGAGAATTGCCGACCTCCGAATTGAAACCGATGTCAAGGCTAGGTATTCCGGCAAAGTCCTGGAAGGCTGTAAAATCGCTACCGCTTCCCATTGTGCTTATATACCCATCCCAAATATCACGCACGGTCTGGCCCTTGATGGTCTGATTAGGCGACTGTACCGAAGCGGTCACATCATAGATTAGCTTGTGTAGTAGAGGAGCGGCCGAGGCGGAGAAAACCGGCCCACGAACACCAACGTCGACGTTGATGTAGGCGACGTTGGCGGCTGTTAGCCACGGTAGATACTCCTCTACCCACTCAGTGCTACCGACTAAACCATATTCTTCTCCGTCCCAACTGGCGAAGACAATGGTTCGCAGGGGCTTCCAACCATTTTCTAAAGCCTTACCAAAACTGCGAATAGCCTCATTCAGAACAGCAGACCCACTGTTGGGATCACCAGCGCCACCAGCTACCCATGCGTCACGATGGTTGCCCACCACAATGACCTCGTCGGGAATTGTACCATTGATGATGCCGATTACATCCCACATGGGAGTGATGGTATATTCCTGTTCGTTGTATAGATTGAGCACAAGGTTCTCTGGCGAGGGCCCAATATTATACTCGACTCCTTTGTAACCGAGACCAGTATTCCTAGTCCAATATTGGCCGAAATCTGTGGCTCGAGGGCCGATTCCGTTCAGAGCTGTTAGGATCGGCAGGGCTTCCAAGTAAGATATCGGCAAGGATGGAATGCTTGGTATAGCTCCGTCAACAGGCGCTCGGGGCACGCCTGGCTTGGAAGGGTAGCCGGGAGTTGTCGGATCTCCCGGTGCGACACTGAGGAATTGGACACTACCACGTTGAACACTGCTAGGATTCCGCGCAGGACCGTTCGGGTATGTGTCGTAGCCATTTGCTTCGGTGGTCTCTCCATCGTCACCCGGATCAGTGAAGATAACAACACCTATCATACCGAGCTCCTGAGCCCGCTTGACTTTCAATCCTCGGAAGATACCTCCATAACGAGCAACGGCAATTTTACCCTCGAGGCTGACGTTGGCTTTGACGAGGTCCTCAAAGTCCCAGTATGTACCGTAGTTCACGTAAACATATGAGCCGGTAACGTTCCCACTTGCGGAGTAGCCATGAAATGTGGGGATACTCTCCTCTAGCTGCGATGTTGGGTCTTCTTCGAGTACGTCTTCTTCTAAAGTGGCTTCGAAGGCCACTTTCCAAGCTTCAGGATCAGCGTCATTTGACTTGGCCTTCTCTAGGAGGGCGAGTCGATGGTCAACCGGGTAATTTATGTACGTCTCATACGCTACGACCTCAGACTTGATCCCCCATTCGTCCCATCGGTCGCGTGTCCATTCCGCCTACAATATAATCAAAACTAAGAATTTCAATCTTACATCTAAATCGAGGGAGTCTTACCTGAGATAAGTTCTTGCCAGCTAGATGTGGGCCGGATGTGTAATACTTGCTCCACTCAGCAGCCTTAGATGAATTTGGAGTTTCTAAGAGTATAGTTTGTAACTCTTCGTAGGTGACGCGGTTCTTATGATGGCCGGGCCACCCGTGATGAGTGTCATGCTGAGGCGCGAAGACAACGGTGATGATAAAAGTGATGAAGAGAGTAATAAGAGATGAGCCTAGAGCGATAGTGCAGAACCGGCGAATGATTTGATGAGGGTATCTTTGTCGTGGCGGGCCGACAGTTACAGTGGTGATTAATGGTGTATACTCATTGGCCATCTTGTCATCGTGACGGCCGAGATCAGACTGGGCCAAGCGCATGATGGATTTGAGATGGCGTTGAGTTGAGAGCGGTGACAATAAAGCTGCGAATGAGGAATGTTAGGTTGTGTCGCCACTCCGACGTAATGAACGTAATGAACCCCGGAAATGTTGCAATCGGGTTCGGCTATGCTCCAGCCTTATCTGTGTGGGGCCGAAGAGATATGAAGCCCACTAAGACCTCGGAGTTGTACATACCTCATTAAGCCCAGTCCCGTAATAGCTATCAGTTGTCTAATAATGATTGGCTGTTCTGTTTTGTACTTAAGTCTACGAAGTACCTAGGTTAGCTTAATAATGGAAGTTTGTTAGTGTATACATAATCTCTTGGTGCGGGAACAGACCCGACAACTCTATCAATAATAATGTTCATTTTCATTCAGGAATGGTTAGATAATATAAAGAATGCCCATAAAATCGAAAACAATGCATTATTATGGGTAAGCCCGAATGTGGCTGCGGCAATTTGCAGGCTTGGGGGTGCAAACGGGTGCGTTCTACCAAGTATTTTGTAGTTGTCTGGTCAGTATGATTTCATATATCGTCCTTGCATATCGTTCTTGGCCAATATATCAACCAACGGAGCCCAAGTAAAGTTATCATCTTATATTACCATGTGTATTAAGGATCTACAAGCCTAGAACAGCCGCATTCCATACGCATCTTGAAGGAGCTCAGACTTAACCAACATAGTGGGTTAACTTAATGGATTACCTGCGGGGTGGGAGACCATAGGAGGGGTTACATTTCGGCTAATGAGTCTACTGTCTTCCTAAGAAAGATGGAGCGCGTTCAAGCCTCAGAGGCAACAGTACCCTTGTTGCAGTGGAGATCCCTTTCCTCGCATGATCAGGGAGGCTGGACGTTGGCGTGTGACCTTTCAATTTTGGCTTCCTTCAAAAGTTCAAATTCACTAAACCCGTAAAATTGTTACCGGATCACATTCTACGACATCCGACACCGGACATTTCGAGGCAGTACTCTGCGTTCCCTTGATACATCGATCTTGGGTGTTCTCTACAAAATCTAGTGGAACATGCAGCGGATGGCGAGCGAGTCTATTTCCGATTAGTAGGCTTGATGTCCCCGGATAGTTGAAGGCGGGTCTTCCTTCGAAGACCTTTGTTTCGTCACGATCGAAGGGAAGAAGAAAAGAAGCTTTTGAAAACTTTTTTACGTACATGCAGCACGCCTTACGCCTCTTAACCCCTCGGGGAATAGAGGCAGATCCACTGCTACCGGGTTTCAATTCAGGACTCGGGAGGCAACATGCGGTAAGCGTCGAATCAAAATGGCATTCACGGCGTACGAGCCGTCGCGACGGCGTGCTACTGCCTTCGGCTTAGCCCTTCTGGATAACAGAACTTGCATACAGGGAATATACACATAACATACATGTGCAGGGTAACAAGCGCCGATGTATCCATGGCCTAGACATATTCGGTACGAGATGTGGGTGTCGTCGGGTAACATTTTCCTCAACACCTCTTTTATGTTAATAAAGGTATTGTTCCCCGCTACTTCACAAATCATACATGATTTATCTTTTCCATATTGGTTGGCCGGTTATGTGTAACTGTTGTCCGTTCTTTGCTCTCCAGTTTTAAGACAATACATGGACGTGGCGGCTACTGTGTGGGAGTCTTAACGCTTTAGTTTTTCTTTCTTTCTTCTTGGACCGGATCCTCGCCCCCCTTATCCCGACATAAGAGAACCGGCCATCCGAGTTTCCTTAGACTTCAAGTCTTCGTCTTTAAAATCGCTTTGTTATTATGTTTTCTAATACGGAACGGACGAAAATGACTAATAAGAATCATGTCCCGAAATTGCCAGCCCAGCAACTGGCCATATTGGGTGAGCTTGGATCTTTCTCTTGCCTACCTATTTTTCGTCGTGTTTTTTTTCCTTGAACAAGCCTGCTATGCGATAAATATCTGTCAGAGGAACCTAATTGCCAAACGGGTCTTATCCGGGATGTTATATTATACAGATGTATTATCTTGCTTAAAATATATCGCTGGTTTGTCTCTGTGCTAGGGACTGTTTGGCCTACACATGTTGCTATGTTTTCTCGTGATATGTTGAAGTATGGTACCAATTCGTATCCCATTAACTTCTGGACTAGCTACATTTTAGTGGAAATGGGAATAGGCGACGAGGCGCTCATAGTTGGATCATGATATTGCACATGGCTAACCTAGATCATTATACCTTCTTTCGAAAATCCGAGCTAATTCTCTTTCCAGCTATTGCACGGTTCGCCGAACCGATCGCTTACACGTCCGTCTTCCCGTACCTCCCTGAGATGATATCCAGTTTCGGTGTCGAAAGAAAAGAAATCGCGAAATGGGCCGGTATTACTAGCTCGGTATTTTCCCTTGCGCAGAGCTTAACGGCAGTGGCTTGGGGGAGAGCCTCAGACCAGGTAGGGAGGAAACCTGTCATTCTGGCTGGACTCCTTTTTACGATGGTCGGTTTCATAGTTTGGGGCATGTCAACGAGTTTACCAATGGCGATCACTGTTCGTATTATGATGGGGGCTGGTAATGGAAACGGTACGTGTTTGTCGTTGGGCAACATCATAACCTCACCATACTAATTGTTGTAGTTGGGATTATTCGAACAATGGTTGCAGAGATGGTTACAGAGAGGGAACTTCGGCCAAAGGCATTCTCGATCATGCCGTTGGTCTGGAGCGTCGGGTCAGTATTCGGACCAGCTTTCGGCGGCCTATTTGCGAAACCTGCCGACCAATGGCCTGAAATTTTTGGCAACATCGCTTTCTTCAAAAATTACCCATTCGCTTTCCCGAACTTGATAGGTTCCGTCTTCTTTCTCATATCTCTTACGACTGGGTTTCTCTTCCTCAAAGAAACCCTTCATAGCAAACGCAACTCTCAGGATTGGGGTCTAGTCCTTGGCGAGCGTATCGTGAATGCATTCAGGAGTCACCCGCGCCGACAGGCTCAGCGTCACCAGCGACATTCCGTACAGGATGATGAAATATCAGCACCGCTACTGGATTCGAACGCGCCCTTGAAGACGGCTAATGTTACTGTTATCGAATCGAGGATCGAAAAGCATAAACCTTTGCCTCTTCTTTCGGTGTTCACCCGTCAGAGCGTTATTAATCTTGTTGCGTATACAATCTTAGCTCTACACTCGGTCTCGTTCGACCAGGCTTTGCCCGTATTCTTAAATTATCCGCCGCAAGAACATACACCTGAGAATACGTCGCTTCCTTTCGTCTTCAGTGGCGGGTTTGGGTTGACTCACACGCATATTGGTACTATCTTCGCGGGTGAAGGCATCATATCTGGTTTGGTCCAGTTTCTGGTCTTCCCACCGCTATGCACCCACTTCGGCATATTGAATTGCTACAAGGCATCCGTTCTTGTCTTCCCAGTTGTCTACATTCTCACACCGTTTACAGTACTCGTAGAGGGTACTATAATGCGCTATGCCGCACTATGCATCCTCCTAACTCTGAAAACATTCGCTGTCATTGTCGGGTTCCCATGCACTACCCTTCTACTTACTAATAGCGCCAAGAGTTTAAGTGTCCTAGGAACGTTAAACGGGTTTGCGACTACGTTTAGTGCTCTTGGCCGGGCTACTGGTCCTGCCATGACGGGTGCAATCTTCACATATGGCGTAAAACGGGGCATGATTGGTCTGCCATGGTGGCTCATAGCTGTTATAGCGATCCTAGGTGCCATACCCGCATGGACGATCATCGAAGGCGAGGGGCCGGGTGATGTTGGTTCTTCATCTGACAGCGAGGATGAGGATGATACAGAGGTTGATAGCGAGCTCGCCGTCGATGATGACGAGTTTAGAACTAGTCAGGCTAGCACTATTGTCGTGTCAGAACAGCCGCAGCTAACGGAGGATGCTCCTTTAATAGGTAGCATCAATACTTCAGAGGCTAGTAGTGGCTACGGGACGCTGGAAACCGGAGATGGCCCATCTCAGGTTACTCGAGGGAACGTCACTATTGCTTAGTTTGGTATATAACGGTCTCGACGTTGGTTGTTAGTAGACCCAAAAATAAGGTTGAGTTAGTTAGACGGTATTTAAAATAAGATACCCTACATGATCGAATAAATAAGGGTATAGAAGCAGCAGGAACAACATCATCACAATCCCTATCTTTGTTATCGGGAGGCGTTACGGACTCGAAAATGGATTTGGGATTAACCAGGGCCAAGTAAAGTACCTAGGTAGTATTGCTAGCATTTAGCAACTAGCATTATCATGTTTGAAATGTGATGCTCATCTTGTATCAAATGATTATTGAACTGCTTTTATTCAGCCGATTTGATCCATGTCGCTGTATCCCAGATGCCTATAAAAATTGACATGAATTCCCCCTATCAAGCCGCCGTAGCTTGACCTGGCCTGACCCGACCCTTTTAGCCATAAAACGCCATAAAACGCCCATGAAGGAGATGAAGCTACCGCGCATCATCATGCAATATAAAGCTATCAAGAGGTATCACTTTGTTTTTGTTTTCCGCACCGAAGACTATCTGAGAAAATCATTACGTCCCGACGTTCCGTAATTATCAATCTTCGTAAGTCCCATACCAACCCACCCGGTTTGCTATCAAGCCATAACTAGGTAATTTTCACTCATCCACTAGCCCTTCCTTTTCTATACTGAGCTTATCAAGCATAGAGTTTCTTTTCGTAACTCTCCATGTTCACGCCGCCCTCTAGTTGTGCGCTAGCAGTGCGAATCTCAAACCGAAGGGTGCCGTTGGCTGCGCTTTCGTGCATCTCTTTCAAACTCCGCATACCGCAATCCTGCAGCGAGTGTTTCAGGCCCGCTGCTAGATACGGTACGAACTTGTTGATCGATCCACGATGCGCCACAGCGCCAGAGACACCTTGGGCAACAAGGACGCTGTCTCCCTCGCTAAAGTACCGGGCGGTACCTGCGTTACTAGCCTGGCTGTTCTTACTACCAGCACCGGCCTTCTTATCCTGCATAGCGTCGATACTACCCATACCACGATATGCCTTAACCAGCTTACCTTCACGCGAGACGAATGAAGTGCCCGGGGACTCGGTTGTGCCTGCGAGCAAACCACCCATCATGACGGTGGAAGCACCGAGAGCAAGACCCTTGACGATATGGCCCACATTTTGGACACCACCGTCTGCGATGCATGGTACTCCAAATTTCGCCGCGAAAGCGGAAACGGAATACACCGCAGCTGCTTGGGGACGGCCTACGGCCATGACCTCCTGCGTAATGCAAGCGCTTCCACTGCCCATTCCGATTCTTAGTCCGTCAACTCCTGCGGCAATCAGGTTTGCGGCCTGTTCCCTAGTCACTACGTTTCCGCCAATGACATCGAGGTCAGGGTACTCCTGTTTAATCCATTTAACCATGTCGATCTGGTACATGCTGTTACCCTGACTGCTGTCTAGGACAACAATGTCAAGTCCCGCGTCGACGAGCTTCTTCAAGCGAGTCTTATCTTCTGGACGGGTACCGATCGCGGCAGCACAGATGAGCTGCTTCGAGTCGGGAAGCTTAGACGCAAGTGGAAAGTGCAAATTCTTAGTCAAGTCGGAACGGGAGATCATGGACACGAGGTTGAAATCCTTGTCAACGATAGGTAGCTTGCCTTTCCTGGACTTGGCAAGGATCTTATTCGCCTCAGGAAGGGTGACACCCAACTGGGCAGTGACTAAGTCGGTCACCATAACTTTATCGACCGTTTGGCGGAGGTCATCCTCGAATTGAAGATCGCGGTTCGTGACAATGCCTAGAAGCTTAGAACCTAGCTTTCCAGATTCTATGGGCTTTAGTTAGCTTGGATCCCATTACCAAGGTTGGAAAGTCAAAAGTTTTTAGAGTTTACATCATCATAAAGAGCATAATTGATTCCCCATGACATTTCTGTCTATACGGTGGAACGAAAGTTAAAATATTAGGTTTGTAATCATAAGATGTGATACACGCGCTTGGCTGTTGGGGGACGAGATCAGGCGGGACAAGAACCAGATAAAAAGATTAGACATACCAGTAACAGGGAAACCACCGAATCCCCATTTCTCTTTGAGAGCCTTGGTTTCCTCAACAGTGGTCTCCTTGCTAATGACAACAGGGTCGACAATGAAGCCGTTCTCATATCTCTTGACTTTCTTTATCATGTCAGCTTGGGCGTCTGGTGAGCAGTTGTGGTGGATTACACCAAGACCACCCTGTAGAGCCATATGAATAGCCATCTCATGTTCAGTAACAGTATCCATAGGTGACGAGACGAAAGGGGTTTTCAGTGTGATTCTCTTAGTAATAGGCGAGTCAAGTCCGACTTCTGAAGCAGGGAAACCAATGTAACCGGGCAAGATCAAGAAATCATTGTATGTCAAGCCACCGCGCTGTTTGGTGTCGACAAGATCCTCAATACCAAGACCATCGCGAGATTGGTACTCTTTCAGCGTCTCAACGGCGCAGGAGTAATCAAGGAATTTGGAACTGCCATTGACAGAAGTGGATCCGTTAATAGACGGCATCTTGATTAAAGAGACTTAAGAGATGTGAGGTCGAAGACAACGTCGAGAAATGAAATTGACCTGCCGACGAATTGAACGATGTTCTTCTTCCCGATTAAAAGGAAGAAGAAAAAGTTGCAAGCCTCGAGCAGCTCCCCAAAAATTTTTGTGTTCTTCCTGCGGGGTCCTGCACAAACCTTAGGTACAGTGCGGGGCTCTCATGTTAATGCGCAACCTTGTCGTAACTTATTTTTATGCGTCAAGTCCATATGGAAAACAAGTTTCATACTAGTACCACAGGATTTTTAACCAATGGTAGTTCACAATTGGTGAATCCACAAGATCCCGTCTATCTTATCTGTGAGTGTGACTCTGGCATTTGTGGCTGATACACTACCCGGTCCGTGGCGGTGATTGTGGTTGGTCAAGTGAGGGGCAGACATACTGCAGGTGCCCGTTGCTCCCCACCCGAATAAATAAACAAACTTCCAAAAACAGGATTACAGGTCATCGGTTTTTTGGTTCCCTCAAGCTCCGTCACCCGTCACCTGTCAACCAACAAGTAAGGCTGAATTCAGGCCGCTCCCGGTTGATCAGTGTTTACCTAGTTGTTTAATTGAAAGCTAATTTTCTACATTACACTCTTCTTCTCAACATCATCGTAGGAAATACATATCCTATTTCTAATGAGTGCGCTGAGAGCGCGCGTTCTCTAAGACAAGGCCAAGAAACCAAGGAAATAGTTTTGCGTTACCGGATATGTTTCCCACCTTTTCCTACTAATGCACGCCTCTCACCTTGGGTATCCGAGCTTTCGTATCTTTGTTTACAACTCACTTCGAGATTCGAATAAGGCATATAAGACCCGGCTGCCAGTAATTCCTGATTACGACCTGGCATCGCATACGATAATCATTACTACTTCGACTACGACTACACCCTAATATACTTCAGCTCCGATAGCTGTGATGCGGACTCCAATATCGGACAGTGGTATAATTCAACTTGACGTAGAGAAATATCATCGCATACTGGTTTAGTAGTCGACATGTCGAACAGGCCTCACCCTCTCCGTCAATCATATACTGTTGACTACCTGGACACAACGGCCAATTCTATCAATCGCCAACTGTCAGCCGCTTCATCGTCTGCATCGTCTGGTTACTCCGCCAACTCTAATAATACTGATCCGTCTGACTTTGGGCCACCTAGCGCAGCATCATCGATAACTTCGAACGACCATGGCAGACCCATTGCTACACATAAACGTGGCATGAGCGAAACTGCACTTCGACATTCCTCACCGCGATCAAGTATATATAATGAACCTAAGGCGAACCCGGAAATCATGTATAACTTGGCCAGACAGTCTTTACGCCCGCTCCCGCAGCCACCTGCTTCAGGACAGCAACTCGAAAAACCCAAGACACCCCCACGTCGCGACCGCCAAGAACGCGGGCAAAGTGTTGACATCGGCAAGCTTTCTCTATACGGGGAGAAAACTTCCCCTACTCCCCAAAGCAAGTCGCCAAATGCCCGGCCTACTTCCATGGTACTCACACGATCCGATGTTAGACGCCCAAGTTTGCCCGGGAGCCCGACACACTCCTCTCATCTTGTAGTCCATCCTACTACTCTTGCTGCTCCCGACTTACAACAGATGGGTCGCTCCTCCACAAACCAACTGCGCACCTTATCCAAGTTAGCCCAGGATAGTTCTGCCGATGAATTCGCCCTTACTTCCCAGGCCCAGGAGGTGGTTGGCCTGCGTGGACGACGAAGACTGCAGCGAGCAGGCAATGCGACTGGCTCTAGGAGCGGACAGCGCAGTGATCGCTATGGATTCGAAGGGCGCAACTGGATGGATAAGCAGAGACAATTTCTCCAAGCATACGAATATCTCTGCCACATTGGCGAGGCAAAAGAGTGGATTGAGGATGTCATTCATCGTCAGATTCCACCTATTGTCGAGTTAGAAGAAGCTCTGAGAGATGGTGTCACCTTAGCTGAGGTTGTAGAAGCTCTAAACCCTACTCGACGATTTCGCATATTCCGGAACCCACGACTCCAAGCAAGACATTGGGATAACGTGGCCGCTTTTTTCCGGTACCTAGATGAGGTCGAGCTACCTGATTTATTCCGATTCGAACTGATTGACCTTTACGAAAAGAAGAATATCCCCAAGGTCATATACTGCATACACGCCCTGAGTTGGCTTTTATTCCGGAAGGGTATTGTAGATTTCAGGATAGGCAATCTGGTTGGCCAACTGGAGTTTGAACATCATGAGCTGGAGGCTATGCAAAAGGGTCTCGACAAGCTCGGTGTTAATATGCCTAGCTTCGGGAACATGGGCGCGGACTTCGGCGTGGAGCCAGTGCCTGAGCCTGAAGAGACTGAAGAGGAACGAATCGATCGTGAACTGTCTGAAAACGAGGCCGCCGTCCTCGACCTCCAGGCGCAGATGCGAGGTGCTATGCTTCGATTGCGGCTTGGCCATATGATGCAGGGACTGTGGGACTCGGAGGACTGGCTCATTGACCTCCAAGCGCGCATTCGCGGCGATTGGACCCGCCAAGTTATAGGGTATCGGTTGGAGATGCGCAAATTTGCTATCAATCTTCAGAGTGCTGCTCGTGGATTCCTGGCCCGGAATAGAATGGCACGTAGAGAGCACTATTGGAAAAGCAAGGAAAAAGATATCACGATACTACAGAGCTTGGTACGGGCCGCAAAAGTTCGTGGCCAGGTACAGGAGACTCGATCTCAATTATCACGGGCGGACGGTCCTATACGAAGCATTCAAGCCGTGTTCCGAGGCCAACTAGCACGCAAAAAGTTCCTTTCCCAGCAGCAGGAGACGAGTCGTATGTCCGGTCCGGTATTGCAGCTTCAGGCCGCAATACGGGGAATGCTGACGCGGGAAAAAATTAGCCAAGATCTCTACTCCCTTGGGGAAGAAACCCAAGCCGTTACTGGTCTCCAAGCCGCGATACGAGGAATGTTAGCGCGGGAGAAGGTTAGCCAAGATATTTACTCCCTTGGAGAAGAACCCCAAGCCGTTACTGGTCTCCAGGCCGCAATACGGGGAATGCTGGCGCGGGAGAAAGTTAGCCAGGTTCTCTACTCCCTTGAGGAAGAGACTGAAGCTGTTACTAGTTTGCAGGCTGCAGTCAGGGCGATGCTGACGCGAAGTCATACCCACGAACAACGCGAGGCGCTCGCTAGCTTTGGTCCAAAATGGGAGTCGCTTCAGTCGATCTGTCGCGGCAATCTACTTCGACAAGATGTCCAGGCAACAAAAGCTGACCTAGCGCAACATACCCCTGAGATTGGAGCTCTACAAGCTCATATTCGCGCAGCAGCAGTACGTCGGGATATTACCGAAACGCTGGATGCTTTGAGTGACAATGAACCATCCATACTTGAGCTTCAATCACTAGCTCGAGGCATGCTCGAACGACAGCGGATCACAGCCGATCTCGACTCTCTTGAAAGCCACGCTATGAGTATCATAGATCTTCAGGCTCGGATCCGTGGGTCCCTGTTTAGAGAGCAGCACTCTCTGCTTCTTGATGAACTACAAACGCACGAAGACGAAATTGTCTCATTACAATCCCTTATCCGAGCCATGCTCCTGCGTAGCGACGTCGGTCAACTGCTAGCCGAACTTGACGAACACGAAGAGTCTATAGCTGAGTTGCAATCCTTGGCCAAAGGCTTTATTGTTCGACAGCAGTTTGCCGCCAAGAAGAAACACTTCGAAGAAAACATGCAGAAGGTAGTCAAGATTCAAAGTTTCGTTCGCGCTAAGCTCCAGGGAGAGGCATACCGAAGCCTCACGACCGGAAAAAACCCACCAGTTGGTGCAGTGAAGAACTTCGTACATCTTCTTAATGACAGCGACTTTGATTTCAACGAAGAGATAGAGTTCGAGAGACTACGAAAAACAGTGGTTCAACAAGTTCGGCAGAACGAGATGCTTGAGCAATATATCGATCAGTTGGATATCAAAATCGCTCTACTGGTAAAGAACAAGATCACTCTTGACGAAGTCGTCCGACATCAAAATACCTTCGGTGGACATACTAGCAGTCTCTTAGCCAACGCCTCTATTGCTTCGGCCAATCAGTTCGACCTAAAAGCTCTCAACAAGAGCTCGAGAAAGAAGCTAGAGTCCTATCAGCAATTATTTTTCAACCTCCAAACTCAGCCACAGTACCTAGCGCGACTTTTCAGACGACTAAGAGAATTAGGTACAGCTGAGAAGGAATGTAAGCGCATCGAACTTCTCATGATGGGACTTTTCGGCTATGCACAAAAGAGACGAGAGGAATACTACCTGCTCAAGCTCATCGCAAGATCGATACGGGAAGAGGTGGACGCGTGTAACTCTATTCAAGAGTATCTTCGCAGAAACTTCTTCTGGTCGAAGCTACTAGGGAATTATTGTCGGTCGCCACGAGACAGGAAATATCTCAGGGACCTACTCGGTCCATTAATACGAGACAATATCGTCGAGGACCCCGCTTTAGATCTAGAGAGCGACCCGATGCAAATATACAGATCTGCCATCAATAACGAAGAGCTACGCACCGGTCGCCCCAGCCGGAGGCCACTCGACATAACCCGAGATCTAGCAATCAAGGACCCAGAAACGCGCGAGTTATTTATTGACCACCTCCGAGATCTCAGAGAAATCTCGGATCAATACTTCCTCGCCCTAGAGGATCGTCTTACCCGAATGCCCTACGGCCTGCGGTTTATCTGCCGGCAGATGTTCGAAGCATTATGCCAACACTTTCAGCGTGAGCCTCAACACCATGTGCTCCAAATTGTTGGCAATTGGATTTGGCGTTTTTACCTACAGCCTGCGTTGGTTAACCCCGAGCACGTTGGTGTGATCGAGAAGACTCTGAGCCCTCTTCAAAAGCGCAATCTAGGCGAGGTTGCTAAAGTCCTTGGCCAAATCTGCTCGGGCCGTCCGTTCGGCGGTGAGAATATCTACCTACAACCTCTCAATGCCTTTGTAGGGGAGTCGATCGAGCGACTTGGTCATATCACGAATAACTTGATCTCCGTTGCGGATGCTGAAAATAAATTTGATATCGATGAATTCAATGATCTCTACGCCAAGAACCGACCCACGCTATATATCAAAATGACGGATATCTTTGCAATCCATTCTCTCGTAGCACACGAGATACCGACTCTCTGCCCCAACCGCGACGATGTCCTTCGTGAGATCTTGCAAGACCTTGGGAGTGCGAAGAACAATGAGAGTGAAATGAATGCGTCTGGGTCTTCCGATATCCAGATGTTTTTGACGCCTAAGCTCCATGATGTGGAAGATCCGGAGGCGGATATCAAGGCTCTTTTTATGGAGACTAAGCGCTGCATCCTGTACATTATTCGTGTGCAAACGGGCGCCAACCTTCTCGAAATCCTAGTCCGCCCACCCACTCAAGAAGACGAACATAAATGGCAATCACTCCTAAGGGAAGATTTCGCGTCTGGTAGCAATACCAAGGGAGCATACTCGGACGTCAACATGGTCGACGTAACGCGGATGTCATACTACGACATGAAGCGCAATGCTCTAGAGAACATCATGCACCTAGAACAGATGGGGCGAATTACAAAACATAATTACTATCAAGACATTTTGAATGCTATCGCGCTGGATATTCGTACGAAGAGTCGCCGTAGAATACAACGCCAACGAGAGTTAGAAGGAGTACGGCTCACTCTCGGGAATCTACACGAGAAGGCTGAGTACCTAGAACAGCAGCGCAAGAGCTACGATGACTATATCGAGCAGGCCATGGCTACGCTGCAGAAGAATAAAGGGTAAGATGATTAAGATCCTCTATAGATACGTTGTGCTAACAAAAAGGGTATAGGAAAAAGCGATTCCTCCTTCCGTTCACGAAACAGTACAATCATCAACGAGAGCTTGAGCGTTCAGGTCGTGTTCCCAAATTTGGCTCTTACAAGTATAGTGTACGTGCTCTTGCCGAGAAAGGTGTTGTCGTGTCTTGGCAAGGCGTATCGGAACGCGATTGGAGTAATATCAACCTCACCATCTCGTGCGACGAGGTAGGCGTATTTAATCTCGAAGGTAGCCGGGGCCATATCCAGATTCCAGGAGCGAGCGCTCTCATCCCGATCGAGGATCTTTTACAGGCGCAGTTCGAGTCTCACCAGTTTATGAATGTGTTCGAGGGTAACTTGAGACTCAATGTCAATATCCTCCTCCATTTGTTGTACAAGAAGTTCTATCGGACGCAATAAGCCGTAGAGCTGGTGCTCTGTGGAAGAATTGCGTGGAAACGTCTGGTGCTTAAAAGGCAGTCGTCTGCGACGAAGGATATGACGGAGCAAGGGGGGTAGGATGTATGGTACTCGGTCAAAGGGGGACAACGGTGTTTTGTAAGGCGACGTGTTGCTCCTGCGGGTTCGGATTAAGAATTACGAGAGATATATGCTGATGGGATTGGCTGGGGGTAGGTATTGGAACTCGACCTTGTTCTTCGCAACTCTTGGTACCTTAAATTGATACCAGCGGCGGCGAATCAGATAGCATGTTTATGTACTTAGGGCTAGACTCATGATGTTATGGCAATGAGACCGTATTTGTAATCGACTTGACTCCTCCCGACCCTGATATGTTTATAGCCGCTATCTGCCCACTGATAATAGGTTTAAGTTGGATTATTTGATTTCGTGATGAATGTGCCCAGCCAAGATCAGCTCAGCCGTAATATTTTAACTCTTTAAGGGAGTCACTATTGCTTTTAGATTCAATGGTATTTCATATTGAACTTCTAAGATATCCGCAGGCCTGGTGTCTCATGTCTTTCTAGAATGTGCCGTTACAAATCAACTGTCGTGCTTTCTTTCGGCGGAGCTTTCGGTGGGGCTCGGCGGCGAAGATGTGGAGCAACCGCCGAAAGCCACCGAATGCAAGAACCGGGGTCTGCCGGTACGCCTTGCCCAAGCCTACCTACCTATATATAAGGACTCTAATCGGAATGTTTCGATATTTTAAATGTATGAATTTTTTTCTATACTTTAATTTAAAATTCATGAAATTACAAGTAAAGGACAAGGAGAGACAGAATGACCGCGTTACCAAAAACAATGCGTTCACTCGTAGCGCCGAAATATAGCTGGCCGACCGGCTGGGAAGTCGCCAATATGCCTGTTCCGACAGTCACAAGCCCTAAGGATGTATTAATCAAGGTACATGCCGCGGCCATATCGACAGGTGATACGCAGCTCGCGAGGGGAGCAGCGAGGTATATAGTCGGGGAATTGAAGTACGTCTATTATATTCCCCTTTTTTAACTTTTGCATAAAAATCATTCAACTAACCCAAGATAGAATGCCTCACAAGATCGGCATCGAGGCCTCAGGCGTCGTCGTCAAGGTTGGGTCAGGGGTGACATTATTCAAGCCCGGCGACAAGGTCTACGCATTCGGACGATCCCGGCCAATGGATGTGACCGTCGACAAGGGGTTCTGCTCTGAGTATGCCGTAGCTCAGGAGAACCTGACGATTACCAATCCTACTGGCTCTCCATTTGAAGAGGTCTGCAATATCGGTAGCGTTGCTACCGCGTTGCAAACTATTGAGATGGGTCTCCGCCTTATGCGCGAGAACGGCGTTACCGATGGACTCGAAGGCAAGACCGTATTTGTATCTGGTGGTTTAAGTGCCACTGGCTCCGTCGCTATACAGGTGCTAAAGAATGTGTACGGCGTCGGTAAAATCATTACCACCGTGTCCACAGCCAAGATTCCGCTCGTGGAGCAGTACCTCCCGGGACTCGTCGACCAGGTCATCGACTACACGAGCGTGACGAAGCTGACGGATGCCATACCCCCGGGAAGCATAGACATGGTGTACAACACGCAATGGATCGTTGCGAGCACTTTCCCGCTAGCGAAGCCGGATGTAGGCGTCGTAGCGTCTATCGCAAGCGTGCCATCGCCGGGGCTGTTGCGCCTTATGCTACCACCGCTGCCATTTTTTACGTACTGGCTCGTGGGACTTGCGCAGCTGTGGTATAAATTTAAACTGCGCGGCACAAACGTTAAACACGAGTTTCACTCTGGCAACCCCGGTGCACGCGAGGACCTCGAGCGCGCTGGCGAGATCGTAGCTATGGGTAAGGTCAAGAGTATTCACCGCGTTGTCGAACTCGAGGACATTGATGCCGTGAGAAGGGAGGCGCAGAAAGTAGCTACGGGAAAGGGCGGAGTCGGAAAGCTAGTGATTAAGATTGCGAAATAGGAGAGATGTACAAGTATTTGTAACTAGTTAACCATTATTTATACTGTCACGGTATGCATGATAAGTCAGAAGAAATAACTTGGAAGATGCAATGCGAATAACTATAAAACTACCACTCCGATTAAAAACGAAACGAAAAAGAATTCCCTTAAAATACAGGCCGACGGGTCTCCTCTCCTACCTTACTACCCCTTACCCCTGAGACCAAGACGGTAGAAGTCCTCCCCTCCCGACAGCCCACCCCCCTACCTACCTCCCGTATAAATCAATCTGACTAACAACAAAAGGAAGCATTAACTGTCTAGTCCAATACAACAAAGGAAACCCAATTTTAGGAGCTGTATATATATGCTCGCTTGTCCGGAACGAGGGCGTGGCGTCTTTCTGTGCGACAACACACCGTTGATGATACTAAATCATATCGTATCAAGAGCCTTTTTGTTTTCTTCTTCTTCTCCTTGTTTAGCTCTGCTTGCGCGGCGCGGCGGGGAACACAGGCGCGAACTCGTTAGCACCGGTGCAGTAGATCCAGACCTGGCGCGGGGTGGTGGAGCCGGTGAACTTGGGGGCGGGCACCAGGTGGGTGTAGTACTCGCGGCCGGGGGGCATGCGGATGATGCAGCACAGCTGGACGTGGTGCGGGTTGGGCCCGTCCTCGCGGACGTAGTGCTGCAGGGCGGCCTCGGCCTGCAGGATGGTGACGCCGTAGTGGTTGTGGTCCTCGACGATCCTGCTCGTGCCGACGAAGCAGTCGGGGTTGTCGAACGCGGCGCGCAGGGCCGACGTCGCGGGCAGCCAGAGAGCCTCCTGGTCCTGCAGGCGCATGCTGAAGGATATGGCCTGCAGGGCGCCGTCCAGCCCGAAGGTAGGGCCTAGAGGAGCCCAGCCGAACGGGAAGGCACGCTCTAGGGCCTGTTGGTCTGCGTGCGGGTTCTCTGCTGCGTCTTGCGTGTCAAGTGTGGGATGTGGCGGGCGCGGCGGGTCGACGACGCGGCCGGTCTTGGCCTTCTCTTCGGCTTTCAGATGGTTGTCAAGGCCAGGGAGGGGCGTGTACTTCCAGGAACCGGGGCCTTCCGGCGTGGAGTCCGCTGGCTTGTCGGAGCCTTCCTTGAGCCAATCGCGGTATGTCTTGGTACCGGGCTGGTCAACCGGGGTGTTCTTCTGGCCAAACAAGTTTTTAACCGGATCCACGCGGGGCTGGGGCTGTGGTTTCGGACTCGGGGTTTGGCCAAATAGCGACTTGGGATCAACTGCTGGTCCTGGTCGAGGTCCAGGTGGAACCGGAGGTCCAGGCTGGGGGCGAGGAACCGGCTGAACCCGAGGACCAGGTTGGGGCTGAGGGACAGGCTGAGGCCGCGGTGTAGGCTGAGGCTGGGGCACAGGAGCAGGCTGGGGTGCAGGAGCAGGCTGAGGTGCAGGCCAGACTCGAGGCCCAGGGGTAGGCTGGGGTGCAGGACTAGGCTGAGGCACAGGCCGAGGCTGGGGTACAGGCCGGATTCGAGGCCTAGGAGCAGGCCCGGGAGCAGGAGTAGGCTGAGGCTGAGGCTGGGGCTCAGGCTCAGGCTCAGGCTCATCTTCATCTTCAACGGGCCAACTCCGAATAGGAGGAGGTATCTTATACGGTCTTGGAGTAGGTTCCGGGGGGTCCGGCACAGTCTTGCCCTTGGGACGAGGGACAGGCCTAGGCCTAGGCGTCGGTGTTGGATCTGCGGGCGTGGGCATGGGCTTCGGGGTCGGAACAGTGCCTTGACCATCTTTGCCTCCAGTGTTCAGCTTCTTAGTAACCTTTGTAGGAGGCAGGATAAAGTCAGCCGGGATCTTGCGCTTCTTGGAGGTGCTGCGAGGGATGTCCGAATCGCTGGTCGGTGGCAGCAAGGGGACTAGAGGCGCTTCGACATCTGTCATGGCCTTGTAGGCCTTGCGTATCTTCCCCCATACGTTAAGTTTAGGCTGGGGGTAAAGCACTACGATGACTTGGTTAGCATCGACCACGTAGAGGTTGTGGACGTTGTTGAATGAGAATGTTTTATAACTGGACTAGGTACGTAGGTGATTAGGTAGACAGGTATGAGAGTATATATGTGACTTACCGCCTTCAAGTTTACGACTGAGGACAACAGATTGTAGAAGGGTCTCAGCCATAGGAAAGATGGCGGGACCTGGCATGAAGCGTTCCTCCGGCTTGGTGATCGGTATCAGCTGCTGCCGATGCTTCTTGCCCTTCGGCATTTTTAATGGTACTTTCTTTACCACCGTCATGTTATCAGAGTCGTCAGTATCAATGATGGGTTGTGGTTGCTTAGTTGTCTGTTGAGGAATCTCTTCGGGGATCTCTTCAGGTATCTCTTCAACAGATGGTTGAGGAATATATTGTGGGTACCCCTGTGGCGGGTTTTGATTATTCTCTTGAGGAATATCTTTAGTATCTTGAGGAATCTCTTGAGGAATCTCTTGGGGGTTAACTTGAGGGTTAACTTGAGGAACTTCTCGGGGGTCCTCTTGAGGGGTTACTTGAGTAGATGTCTCGTTCGAGGGCTTTGTACTTGAGGAATGCTTTGTGTTGCCAGGGGCCTTTGTCTGTTCTGAGACCTCTGTCCGTTCTGGGTTCTTTGTCCCCCCATGAGCCTTTGTACCATTTTCCGAAGTCGTTGGCTTTGTTCTCGGACTGAAAATCCAACGATTGTCTGGCCAGGGATACCATGTGGATCCCTCCGCTCGTCGGTCTACTACTCTTTCGGGAAACCTAGGCATTAGTATGCCATAGTTCTGATCCGGAAGGCTTGGTTCTACTCTTGACACTTCATCTCGTCGTTGCTTGATGAGTTCCTGTAGACGCCTATTCTGGTGGTATACTGGCCAACGCAACATGTGGAAGAAGGCCCCGCGAGTATACGGGGCTTGATACCGCCTCTGCGCTTCTGTAGCCCATTTGAATAGACTTGGCCGTTTATAGCCGCTGAGTATTTTGTTTGGTTTGAATTTGCTGTCATTGATGTAATAACCTGACGAATCCTCAAGAGCCTCAATACGGCCGGGGTACATTGTGTTGCGATTCTCGACGCAGTTTCTAATGATGCCTTCTCGAATGATGTCTTCCGGATTGTAATCCATGAACTCACGTCGCAGAAGCCCGTCGGGGTCTACTTTGTTGACAACATCCTGCGTAGTTGGCGGTAGGAACTCTATTGGTCCTACGCCGTTCTCAATAGAAAGGTGCCAATGTTCGTAAGCCTGTTTGAAGGCCTCCGTAGAAATTGCATTCCACTGTTGCGTTTTTGGGGTTCCGGACGCACTATCATACACTGAGTACTGGAGTCTGCGTTCAATTTCCTCGACGTGCGCTATTGTACGTCCCATTCGATAGGCGAGGTTTCGAAAGAACTGGACAGTCCTTTCCGGGGGCGGAAGACGACGGTGTCTATAGGCTTCCTCGCGGATTTGCTCACGCATATCATCGGTGATTCTCCCAGCTGATAGCTTTCCTAATATCTCCCAAGGAACTAGGTCGGACCAGCTAGGCGCGTTGCGTCTCTCTTCCAGTCCCCCCTCAGGATACGAGCCCCGAACCCAACCAATCTCGGGTTGGATTCGCTGCTCTAATAATTCGTGACTACTAAGTTCAACTACTGACTCATCGTCCATATCCTCGTAGTAATCCTCGGCATCTTCATTGGCGCCTTTAGGTTGATCGGTTGTACTTTCTGCCAACTTGTCGGGCAACGTGTCGTCTCCAAGATGGTCAAGGATGTGTTTAAACTCATCTCTTGCAATAGGAGTTTTTGGGCCACCAAGCCCATATTTGTTTTCTAAATGCTCGACTATTGCTTTTCGATACAAAGTCTGGTTGGAGAGGAATGACCCTTGATCTTTATGGCGCCAGTAGACACGATTCTCGGGATGTACTACGTATTTCGGTCGTACGATATATGTATCCCACTCTTCCTGGGGCTTGCTTGGGTCCTTCGTCTGTATGTACCTAGTTCCCGTTAATAAACTCACTGACTTAACATATGGCAATTAAACTTACTTGACTCGACCTAGGTTACTAAGTATTTTCAACTGGTCCATGGCTTCCCCACGCGTAAACTGATAGGTCTCGTTTGCATGAGACTTCCCGGCGCCTCCACCACCGTTAATGTATGCGAGTGCCTCATCTAGGGTTGGTCTAGTCTTATTTTGCTTCTCTTTCCACTGCTTTACATCCGGTTCGAAAATATCTATCCCAGCTATCCCCGGGCTGTTAGATGCGCCTGGGTTGTTGAGGAAATCCTGGAGGCGCTGGTCGAAAAGGATAGTAAGGTTATCCTCCGGTTGTAGCTTGGGGTCGCACATTTCCTCTGTGCGGGAGGGCTGGCAGAGATATCTCAACCAGGCCGCGTCAGATTCGTCAAGCAGCAAGATAGTCGGAGGTGAGTTTAGAGAGGGATCTAACTCAGCCCAATCGATCTTTTCCCTTCTCATAATATCTGGACGGGCTTGTCTACGGGTTTCTGCCTCGTCGGGGTTCCATTGAGTGGCATCTCCCGTCTGGTTAGGGCGCCATTCTATCCCAGCTTGGATATCCCTTAGGATAGCCAGCAAGAAAGGTCGGGGAGCTATGCCGAAGATGTCCTCTAGATGTTTACGTAGCCGTTTTAGATATGCGCCCATCCTAAGCCAGTGGTCGTTATATACCGAAAGGCCTTTATTGACATAAGGACCTTGGAAATTGGCGGGAAGTGCAGCTCTTTGGAAATCCTCCCAGTTTTCTAAGTTATAGCGACGGCGCTGCCAGCCAGCTAGAACCTGGATAAGCTCATGATATTGGTTATACCAGTATACCCAAGGATACGGCTCCTTGAGACTCTTATGGACCTTCTCTGGAGGAAGTGCCCGGGGCTGGTAAACTATCTCCTTCAAATCCGAGTTAGGCTGTTCGTATGGCAGAACTACTCGGCGCCATGGGGTATTGAGAATTCTGTTCTCGTAGTTGGTGAACATGTTTAGGCATTGCTGAAGCGCGGCCCGCTGCCAACCTCGCGCATCATAGAATTCTCTCAGGGTTTCCATTCTTTCAGCCTCGGTGAGCTCATCTTTGGATTTCTGCTGATCATCATCAAACACAGTAGGAATTTCGTCGGCAAGTCGAGGTGGAATCAGTCTACAAGTTTCCTCCACTCCACTCCTAATGCAGTGTTCATACATCTCATTTTCGTATCTAAACCCGTTAAAAATACGCGGGTCGTAGGTACCGGGTTTAAGGCAATTTTCGAAGTAAAGCTCCTCAGCACTCTGATAGTACTCGACCGCTCTAACTCCCCTCGCAGACAACTCAGGGAATATACCGTCGATTTGAATCTCGCGCAATTCATCGTAGCGCATGTGTTTGTTTCGCATTCTCTCGGGAGCAGGCTGTACAAGAGATTGACCGGGAAAATTCGGAAGACGTCCAGTAACACGCTGGCTAGGTATGATTTCTGACGTCCAGCGAGTTGGACCGGATTTCCATTTCTGATACCTCTTATGCACGTCGACTATGATGAGCGCGTCGTCCAACGCCGCGCGCGTGTAAGAGTCATCGTAGCCGAGATCGCCTCGATAACGGGCCTGGTCGGCTTCATCGAGATATTTGATAACCTCCTCAAGCCGACGATCCCATTGTGGATGTTTGTAAACGTCTTCGTCGAGTAGAAAGTTCAAGATTAAGGGTAGTATAATTCTAGGATCCTTCCCACCAGGACCTACGGGCACATCCGGTATAGATTTGTCCCAAATATCATCATCGGCCGTCGGTTTTGGCTCCCCCATCGTATCTAGAGCGCCGCTTCGAGCCACAACCGTTCTAAACTTCCCAAAGTAAAAAACAACTAAGAAGCTCTATAGCAGTTTACAAAACGACAACGAGTAGTGTATCCAGTGATTCCAGTTTACCGAGCAAAGCTCATTGTCAGCTAGAACGTTTCGTTGATGGATTGCTTGGGTGGGTGCTTAGCGTGAGTCTGCCCGTCGACAGCGACAGATGAGCAAGAAGAAAGAGACGTGAGGATGGGCGAAATTTCCGCTCGCGATTAACAAGTTGGGACCCTATGCTCTTGTCTTCTCTTTGGAGGAATTCTGCAGTTACCAGGGGCAGAAGCTAAACATTCCAGAGGCAGCTTTTAGCTTTCTTTTACCAAGATCCGATTTCAACAAAGAATGCTATTGTACGGCTAAACATCATGGCCCAAAAGGTAAGACAAACACACTAGATGCTTGAATCCATCCGTCTCTTTCCGTTTGCGGTGTTAGAGGCGTTCCCATTCTTTGCAAGCCAACAGCCAGCACAGCCAGAACAGCCAGAGAACACGGCACCCATTTGTAAATTTACTACAGACACCAGTGAAGAAGCTAAATGTGATCGAAAATTAAAACACTGCAATTTTATAGAACAGGTAGACAGCAATGTCCAACGATAACCAGTTGCCGGAGTTCCCAGAGGGATCTCCGGATCAACAAACCGGGGGTGGGCCGTCTCGGAGCCGTGGGCGAAATATACGAAGGACTGGAATGCCAGAAGAGGAGCGCAGAGCTCGGCAACGGCGTAGACGTCAATTCCGCGCCCGATTTAGCCTTGCAAACGAAGACAAGCGGCAAGAAGAGACAGGAGATGGAAAATCTGATATTGACGATTCAAACACTACACAGGCAGCAATTGAACAAGAGAGTGCGGACGAGCCGATCTTAACAGAGGCTGAGGGCATTCAGGAGCGGAAGCCTTGGGAGACGCTAGTTATCGGGAGCTTAGGAGAGAACTTGAGTTACATCGAGGAAAAGAATCGCGAGATCGAACGACAACGATATATCGTAAGATACCACCAGGAACATTCTCCGCACCAAGTCGCACACAATCAGAAAATCCTCGATGAGTTGATCCAAGAGCGATCGGAAATGGAGGACGATGAAGAAAACAATATGCCCCAGTATGTATACTTTAAACCCTTATTTTCCAAGAAATGTGTATAATAACTAATAACCTCTCACAGAGATAAGCGAGAAGAGAAGATACGTATCGGTGAACGACTAGACTCGCTGAACTGGGCCCTCGATACTTGCCAATGTGAAGGTGAGGAAGTCAACATCCGAGCTGCCATCCAAGGGTATCAATCTGGGGAGATCGCATATTCGAACCATTTTACACTCATCTACGGCGGACATATCGTTGACGTCTGCCCCTCATACCAATCCTTCTGCGTAGACAGGCAGGAGAGGTTAGACAGGTATATTGCAAAATACGGACCCGGATGGCTCTGGCAAGAACCTCCGCTTGCAGGCCCCGGCTCCGAAGCGGTGGCGAATAAGGCGCTGTGCCTCAATAATAACGGGAGTAGACATAACTACTTTTTCGGGAGTTATACGGTGAATATGCGGTTTGCTGTCGATAGGGGCCTAGTAATGAGAAAGACACCTAGAGGCTTCGTCAAGGACAGAGTAGGGAGGCGGGATGCTGAGGTTTCGTGTTGCTTCGAGACGCTCCTCGACAGCGGAGCAACTCTGCCCAACTTATCTTTGGATGATCTCCGCCACCTAAACGTCGACTTCAAGTATTACGCCGCGCAGGGTGTTACGAAGATCCGAACAGTATCTGATATCCAAGAGCGGAGACTCTTCGAAATGCGAGTCTCGGTGTGTTCAAAAGACGGCGCATCGCTCGTCGGGGAAGGCGACCAAGCGGTGTGGCCTAACGAACCGAGGATTGTTGGAGGCCTCGTTCCGGTCTGGATCAACGAAGACACATCAGGCCCATCAAGCTTCAAAGATCGTCTAAGCGGCATGATACCGTTCGAATCATGCTACGTAGGGTCGGCACCAACTACGAAGGAGATGTGGCTGGGAGAAGATCGCAGAGACGTGTTAGGTGCACGGCGCATGCCATCACTCTTGCGGTACGACACCGAGAAGCAACTCGGGTTGAAATATCCGGAACACTTCCAAAGATTGCGGGCCGAAGCAAAGACGCCGGATCAAGTGATATTCATACATAACCTCGACCCGGCAAAAGGGAGAGGATCGACGTTCATCGACGCAGACTGGCCAGGCGTTCGCGGGAAGAGCGAGTTAGCAGTCCTGCATAGAGAATTCGACAAAGCTAGCCAGCGAACAATCACGAAAGCACAGGAGAGGGTAGTGTTGGAGCCACGCACGGGGGAGCAATGGGAAGTTGCGAAAGAGACGCCTGGATGGCGAGAGCAGTTCCTAGGCCCTAAGGATTTTGCGAAGTCGGACTATACCGGCGTTGGGGAGAAGAAACTATTCGGACATAGGTTTGGACGTAGGTAGAAGGTTAGTCTAGAGCGATGTCGATGTTTATATTGTAGGAGGTATTCTAGATTACATTAGGTTAGGTAGTTAGTTATATGAGATTAGCAAGCCGTAGCACTACATCGCATTGCCTCTCCCTTACTCTCCCCCCTCCCTTATATGATGAAGAGAATAAAACGACTTGTGGTCGTTCAATGTCACGTGTCAATAGGAATAAATACCTGTTGAGAGAGGCCAAGGTGAATCTGTATGAAGTGCCATTTACGGCGCCGGCGACTGTAAATTTGAAATACCACTTCGTATCAGTAATTATGGATTTAGTTGTGCATACATATATAATAAAGCCTCTATACGCTCATCACGTCGCAGTAAAGGCACTACGTAATTTTCTACTCAGAAAGATCTTCAGGGAGACATAATAGCCTGTCAGCTTGGATACATACATAGTATAATTGTAGCTCATGCCGCTCCCAAAGAAATTGTAACCTGCATAACCGAAATCGCCCGGTGACGACAGCACAGCGCTCGGAGATTGTGCAAAGATATTAGTAGCTGCTAGCTCGCCAATTAGAGCCCCGGTCTGAATATTCTTGTCCTTTTTTTCCCGTTGCTACTTCATAGATGGCACGAGAAAAAGGAAATGTAGACTTGCCCTTGCGTGGGAAAGAAAAAAAAAGACCAGTTTCTTTCTCACGAACCCAACAGTCTGGATGCTATGACAAATGAAGTTAATATACTAACCTACATAGGTGCCAACATATGCAGCGACTGGAAGAGCGGTACCGTCGTATTCTCTCCTATTTAGGTATTATCATCAATATTTATTAGGAGCTGGCTTCAGCGACATTAGATAGGCTATGGCCATTCAGCCCCTGTCTAATAATTACAACACTCCTTACAACTTATCAAGGCTACAGATGCAGGCCTTCGAGCCCGCGCAATAGCGTTGATGCTTATTCGCAAAATCCTACAGCACGGGTGTGTTCATCTCCGCCTGTTGATTGATTCGGTGCGGGCGCTCGGAGTGAAGCAGGTTTTTTTTTTTTTTTTTTTTATACTGATCAGAGCGATCTTAGATGTATGGGCTCTTACTTAGCTCGAAACGGTGAGGAGGCGTACGGCTATGAGATGATGGCTTGCAGAAATTGATTAGCTAGACTTACCCAACTGCCCAACTGCAGGGAAGAGGAGAGTTAAGAGAATAAAAACCTTGGCGCGTTTATATGGAGATCATCGTAATTAATAAAATGAACAAAATACCTAAGACGCGTAAAGAGGTTTTCTTCTTTTCTTTTGTCTTTTTCTGCAGCTTCTTGAAACACTTATACTAGGCTCTTTCATCCGGGCTAGACAGGTCTTAGTTTAGGACTTGTCTCATAATCTCATAAATCTGATTTAAGCTACGGATCCTCCTACTAAAAAGCTGCATGAGCTGCATGAGTTGCATGAGTTGTGGGCTGCATCATGCTGCATCGTGCTATTAACGCGACCGACGCCAAAACGCCAAACCGACGCGTGCGGAGAAGACACAACTTTTTGCCTCCGAGGGGCTGGATAGATATGTAGAAACCATCTCGTCATCGTGTATTCCTTACCCCACCATAAGCCTAGGTAGGTAGGTATGTAGGCTTGACCTTTCCTACATATATCCATGTTTCTACATATGTATGTATCAGGGTCTATTCTACTAGTGTAAGGCGTACGTAGTATTCACAGAATCATGAGACTTAAGGACCACATATAGTTCCATAGTATTATGTAGGAACTACGGTCTTACTATGTAACGTCGAGCTTTTCTCGGGCATCCTTTAGTCGTTCTGCACATCCTACAGCTACTTGGAACGCTATATTTGATTTATTATGTACAAGTACGAAAATATTCATGATACTTTCGATCTGCTTACCAACGCTACAAAAAGTTATCTATGAGTTTCTCCACACAACTAGAGCAAACGCTGACAATGATTGACATTTTCGAGGCTGAGGATCATAGATCCTGTATGCTTATACGTAATTCCTTGATAATGCCGCCCAGACATGTTATTACCATCGAGGTAATCACATCGTATATAACAAGTGCATACGGTTAGATCAGGAGCTAACGCCGACAACTTGCAGAAGCAAGATCGGCTCACATAACGAATAGGAAAAACCGGGCCAACTCCATCCTTTAGGGTTAGTATGTAGAGCGCGGATGGTAGCTGAGATAGGTACACAGCCTCGGGGGCAGAAACCGCTAAATACTGGTTACCGGTTATTCCTGTGTCCGATGTGAAAGAAATGTAAAAAACAAAAATAAAAGAGCCATGAATAGACATATCCAGGTTATGATGATGGTCGGATGGCTCTTTTTCGGTCGCTTGCTAAGCTGTGACAAACCTCATTGGCGTATTATCGAACCACTGATATAAAGGGACCAATGAGAGAACCCATAGCCCGGCAAGCTTGAAGCTGTCCGTGTCGTTGATGAGACCGGTACGTAATTCGGGGTTCACGAGCAAGTTATGAGC